GTTTTTAGATCACAAATAAAATTAATTAAAGTCTTTCGAGTGGTGAAGTCAAGCTCCTAGGTGGTCCACTATGTGTGTAATGATTTTCTTAATAAGAACAAAGCCCTTTGAATATATATTTTTTTCTATCTCTTTTTATCTTGTAATAATGTTTAGTTGCTGTTTTTTTTTTATTTTTAAATAAAAGTTTAAGGTGAAGATAAGTTTTTTCAATTCAAAGTCAAAATAGACCACAGGCTTCAGAGATAAGATATATTAAATATACATATTAAGTATCAAAAACGATTGTTCATAATAAAATTCAAACTTAAACTAAAGAAAATATTTAAACCTTACGAACTCCTCAACCATTCACGTTGACATTTAATTTCTGTTGTTAAGGCATGGAAGAGGTCATGAAATATTTATGACAAGACAAAAACAAAGAAAATGAGTTGAGGGACGTCGGTATCAGGTGACTGATTAAATATTAGTTGTTTTCATGAACTACCTGTGAGAATTAGACCGTTTGGGGTGTGGATCAAAACAGCCACCTGAGTTCCCTCAACCGCTGAAACCCTGAACCCAGCTGCCAGGTTTTCTCTAGGACATGTAAGAAAACTTTGTCAACTAAATCCAAAAGGTTTTTCAAAGGGGTGTCGTTTTACCAGAATCATGACCCAAACTTAGTATATTGTTCTGTCATATGAATTGATCGATGTTTTTGTAGTTGAAATCAAAGATTTTGTACATATGTTTAGATCCAAATCCAACAAGATTGGGCACTGCATGTTGTTTATGTTGGAACTAGAGAATACATGTTTTTAACAATTATATACGTTTATAACTTGGTTTTTCTATCTTCCTATGTTTTTTTTTTTTTTTTTGTAAATTTTAGGTGATTGAGATATTTTTATAAATGTTTTTGCAACATAATATAGAAGGGGAGCTGATAAATATCATTTTAAAAATAATCTTAGCTACCTGAATTCATATGTCACACACTATCTATTGATTTATTTTCGTCGGCAATAATATACTAGTACTAATATTTTCCTCTTCCATAAAAAATAACGAAATCAAAATCAATAATATTTTTTTAAATATATTAGAAGTATGGACCATAAAATCATAGATTTTTGCTACCAAAAAAAAATATCCAGATTTGCTTTTAAAATTAAATTAAAGACAAAATTGTTAAAAAAAAAAAAAAAAAAGCTGAAAACCTGATATCATATGTGGGGTTTGATATTACTAATTTTCATGTGAATCAAAATTATTGAATTTTTTAATTATTTTAAAAATGTAATAGTCAAACATTCCATGATAAATAATGCACGAAAATGATGACTTATTGATCCTAATTGTTGCGCACTTAGAAAAATCTTCTTATCCGAGAATCATCACTGCTCCTAACCAATCCAAATTCCATGGTCTCTAAAAAAGAAAGCATCAAAATTATGGTATTTCCTTTCAACAAGATGTTGAAAGCCAAAGCCTGCATATGATCAAAACACTGTTTTAGGAATATATGAATAGTTATAAATATGTTGATAATAAAGTTCACATATATTTGGTTTTGGATAATGCTTCTCACTCAATTCCAAGATTTCATTTCCCTCTCTCATTGCACACAGTTTTTAAGTTCATGGTTAGTGGATTTAAAAAAAATATATTATTAACATAAAAAGAAAATAATAAATTTTTTTATTCATAGAAAATACTATTTGAAACACCAAAATTAATGTTAATATATTTATTTGATTGATTGAGAAGAAATTTCATCATATAAGGAAGTAAATAATTATGTGTAATAATGTTTAATTAATAAAAAAATTAAAGAGAATAAAATTAATAATGGGGTTTAAATCTGAAAAAGTTAATAAAATAATCATATTAATGCATAAATTTTACGAAAGAGATGTCAAACTAAAAAATCTTAATTAGGGTAGCCAAATTAGAATTTTGCCTTTCGTTTTTGTTGAAAAAGGCTGTTCTTTAATTGAATTTTCAATAGTTTAGGGTACCAATCGTCCTCTAGATTCATCCACGATGATTAATATTTCGTTGCTGATGATTAATGATATGATTTGAATATTCAACTTCAAGTGATAAATAGCGAGGTAAAGAAAACATTTTCAAATCGAACAATTTTTACTTCACAATTCAGTCCATAATTCATTAGCAAGAGTATGTTTGTCTTGCAAGAAAATCCAAGTGTCATTTACGTGTAAAAGAACAAAAAAAAAAAACTGTTAAAAGACAACTCACTGCACGCTCAGTGCTTAATCAAAAGTCACCCTCAAACCGAATTTTTTTTTTTTAATTTATAGTATATATTATTTTTCTCGGCAGAGAAAGTGAATATTCTCTGGTTTGATAGAATCTTTTCGATGCCTTTTGTGGCTCCAAAACGAGTACGTCTACAGTTCTACTTCCTCTTTTCTTCACGTTTTCATCCTCTCCCCCTATAATTTTTTTTTTATTTACAAAAAACCCAAGCCAAAAAAAATTGCAAAGATTGAAGAGCCACCAGATTAGCTGGCGTGAATTTTTATTATAATTTTATAATTATTTGATAATAATAAAAAATTATGTAATTATCTATCACTTATAAATAAAAATTATATATGAAATTTTCATAATTTTAAAATATAATTAATTAATTATAATATAACAGTTGATAAATCTTCATTACATCTACGATGTCATCCAATTCTAGTTATACATGAAACCTAATCAACAATTAGCCTCCTTCTAAATAAAATTGAAACTAACATTATGTAGATAATCGATCATACAATGAATATCTTCCACAATACATATATATATATAGCGAGGGTCTCTCACTAATTTTTAGATAGTTCCACAGACCAAAACCTTGGACCATCGATCCCTTACTCCTCATCAATGCACGTACAAGCCAGTTGGACGGCCAAAGACATCCACCACATGCATTTGCTGACCCGCTTGGACGAGAGCATTTGCTCCACCAATAAGGCATCCATTATTGTCCCTACACACTTGATTTGTAGTTTACTTGATTAATAAGTATCCATATGGCTTAATTTGTTGGTTATATGTACCTTCGAGTGAAAGCAGATTTTAGGATGGTTTGTTTGGGTAAATCTTTTCTCTTTTTGAAGCTATTGTCATATATGTTTATTTTTCTCTCATAAAGACCTAGAGTAAGCGATGACCTCTTTGGCAATCTAACCTATATATATATATATATATATTAATTTCTTATTGTATGAGATATTTAGCAAAACACACACACACAAAAAGAAACCCACAAATTAGATAATTGCATAGATATATCTTAAAATGGCAGCTTAATTGTATAAAGAGTTTAAGATATTTTTTGGGTAGAAAAGTGTTAAAAGACTATGCTATGTGTATCCACATTAGAGTTTCATTAACTTTTGAATAGATGTTTCAAAAGAGGCATTGTATATTTTGAGATTCCATTATAAAGGGCTCAAATTTGAGATGAGTAAAATTGATAAGATTTATAAAATTTAAAAGGATTCTCTTCCCTATGTAGCTCAAGATTATATTTTAAAATGAAAAAAAGAAAAAGAAAAAAGAAGGCTTATGTTATTTTAAACTACCCTGCATTGAAAATCTTAAATCCACTTATAAAAACAGATTCATTCCTAGTGAATTTGATAATACTCAATTTGCTACTTTAATGACCAAAATAAGCAAGAGATCACCAAAATTTGACAAAGGTATAGCATACCAGTCATTCTAAAATGAAAATAAATATAAAGTTAAAAGAAACAATCTGGTTATAGCCTCCCAATTACAGAATTACTACATGAAAGAAAAGAAGAAAATAAAAATCCAATTCCTTTTCACGTGATTAATGAAGAAATGCATTAAAATGGTTGTTTTGTTTTTCATAGTAATGAGGTTGGCAGAGCCAAGATGTTGATACAGAAGTGAACCGTTACTGATCATTACTTGTCAGTGGATAGCCCGGTATGACTGAGCAACCGACCAAATGGTGAGTCAAATAGCCACAGCCACCCTACGTATATGGCTATATTTTAAAAAGCTGAAATTTTTTTCATTCTTCTGTCTTAATATACTACTTTAAAAAGAAAAACAAACCCAGCTGACAAATTTTATTAAAAAAAAGGGAAAAAAAAGCTAAAGAGAGGAGGGGAATATGACGTATGAGATGAGATGACATAACAAAAGAAACTGCCTGGTGTGCTCAATCGTTTAGTAGCCACTCGAGGAAGGTTTGTTATGTTTTGGAGAAATCTGAACTTTTCATTTAGAATAAATATGAAAAGAGGCAGTACCAATATCAATTGGTTTCAGGGAAGAGGGGAGATATGGGGGTCCATTCTCTTTTTTGATGAAGTGTCATTGAACGGTCTAGGTTGATTGGACGGTTAAAGATCATGTTTTTGGATACGTTTGGTCACCCACCTCTCCTCTCATCATCTGTCATTTGGGTTTTTTTTTTTTTTTTTTTTGGGAGATAGATAAGTAAAGAAAATATAAGGAGCGTATAAAGAAGATGGCAGCAGAACAACAGGTGGGCTGGGGGAGGATCTTCCTCCATCAGAAATCAGAAAACAAATCCCCATTGCGTCAGCATGCCGAAAAGATTTGATGTGGTAGCTTTTAGCTTAGCCCATGAATTGATGGATGGGTCAACTCCATATCTGGAAGTAACAGAAAGATGGAGATTGGCCTGGAAACTGAAATTTTGGACAAATGGAAATGAACACTGAACAGAGAGGAAATGAAACAAATGGTATCTAGGTTTACTGGGGTTTCAAAGAAATCATCATGAGGGTTAAAATCACTTAGCAGACACAGACGACACAAGTCATTCAATTTTTCACGACCGTAAGCAATTCAGAGCAAGTTAATAAAACATTGGGGTGGCTGTTGTTTTAATCCACAGGTGTCTGGGAGACACCTCTGTACATACAAGAGTCAGATTTGTATTCTTCTTCTTGCTCATAAATTGTTATTTCTGTTTTTTTTTTTTTTTAAATTTGATAAACGCAACAATAAGTACTTGGACTCTGTGCCACTGTGTCCTCTCAAAGTCTCAATGTCCTTTGGGATTCATCATAAATCAAAAACCAAGAATAACATACGCTTTTTTTTTCCCACCAATAAATGTCGGAAACTATGTACTTGAATGCTAAAAATGAGGGACATTAATGACTATGTATCTCCACTTAAACTTGGTTTAGAAGTTGAGTTCGGGAAATTTTTCTTGTATTCTGTATCAATAGAATTCTGTCAAAAGTCCCCATCGTTTGTTACAATGAAAATTTCGCAACCGTAACCCAATTCTTGGGTCACTCTCACATCATCAGATATGAATCGAGAAGCAAGAGTATGGGAAAAATAATATTCTTCTATTATTTTCTAAAACCTTTTTCAATCTACTTACGTTGTTGCTGTCACGAGGCATACCATACTTCTTGGCCCAGTGGATGAGGCATCTCTCGTGAAAAAATTGAAAAAGAATGGAGAAGAAAAAGATAGGCAACATGCACTTTAGTCAAGGATCTGATCAGAAGGGATTTGGCCAAAAATATCTGGACATGAATCCCACTTTCCCTGCTCTCTAGCCTCCCAATATCCACCGATATAATGGTAAGCGCCACTGTTTTTATCCTTTTCAAACCATCTTGGCTTCCAACCTCTCTCTTGCATCTTCCTAGCCTGAATACCAATCGAAAATGTACAATGAGACCAACTACCATAAAGCTATTTGCCTAATCCTTCAAATCTATCAACAAAACAAAAACAGGGTTTCGCTAAACACATCAGTAGGATTTTACCTGCAATATAACTATACTGAAAACAAGCATCGTAGTGAGGGTTCTAAACAAAAATATAGTTGTGATAGCGCTTTAGATATTGCACTGTTTCATTAATTTACAAATCCAGATACTGTTCCCTGAATTCCAACACTGGAATGGAAAGTTTGCAGTAAAGTCACCTAGAAGTTCATTTAATCTTTGAGAATGAGTTATTTAGCAGCAAAGGAACCTTCAAGACGTGGTCAGGTTGACTTCTAACTGCTCTTGCTGCCCAGTTATGATCACAAAAAGGTGTTTTCTTAGTTATCCACGACAAATGATTATCTAAATTGTTTTCATGCAGAGCCTAGGATAAAATCCCTGCTTATGCATCTGCATAACTAAGATTGGAGAAAAAAAAGCATTCCTAAAACACGGCTTATTATGCTGTATATTGCTTGGTTAAACTTTACATTGATGGGCAATCTTATTGACAACCTAGTCAACAGTTGGGCATGTTGCTAGGTGAATTATGAGAATTTTCAAGAACATGTCTTGCCAGATATTATTGTTCCCACAGTTATGTAGTGCATTGGTTACTTAATGTATATCTACATGTTTGGCTCAGCTTATATACTCTCCATATACAGTTTGCTAGGAGACCAATCGTTCAGAACAAACTGAGTGAATCTAAAACATTAAACATTCATATTATTTCCTGCTGCTGCTATACCTTCATATGCATCACTAACGGTTTATATATTTACTACATTATTGGTATTTGACGGTCAGTTTTAAAAAGCCTTGGCATGTTTATGTCATTAAGCTTTTATTCCCAGTTAGGAGGAGTCTAAAACTTGGAATGAGAAAACAGCAACTTTGGTTTATGTGTTTGCTTCATAGTTTCCTAAAAACCCAAATCATTAGTTCGTTGATACTTAAGCTCATGTCTAGCCAATTTGCATCATCAGCACATGGAATTGACAACAACGCAGAAATGAAACATAAAACTTACCTGCCGTTGCCGCTGCTCCAACCGCAACTTCTCTGAATTTGCCATTTCATACTCTCCATTTTCCAGAAACCTTTGATCAGGTCTCAGCCTTGAATCTGTAGGAGGCAATTTTTCCTGAATACAGAAAGGAGAAAAAAATCAATGTCCCACTTACTGCAAAGCAGTTCATGCAGTATCTAGACAGTGCATTTGTTTCAAATGATTCCATTTCATTTTTCTAGATTCAAATGGACACATTTAATTCCATCTTTTGGAAAAAGAATTTTTGACCAAAAATCAAATTATTAGAACTTAGAAGCACTCAAGGAAGGTACCCTTCCATGTACTAGTTGTAATATTGCAATTCAAGAATTGTAGGGATATCCTAAAAATGCAATGGAAACAAATCTTCATATATGTAAAAGTCTCTGCATGTCTCCTTACGTGTGTGAAAGAAAGGACAAAAACCATAATGGAATTTTCACACCACCCACTTAAGGCATTAGATTGGCGCCAAGTTTATAAATCCAATCAAAACTATTATAATAATCACCTTCAGACCAGGCGTGAGCTCATTCAAGGTTATGGCAAAACGTGTTAAGTTATATCTGGTGGGATATTTAGGAGGCTTGCTCCGCTTCCAAAGCTGATGAGGTTCCGATAAAGACTCTTGTCCTTTTCCTTTTGCAGAACAATCTCCATTCACATAATGCATGCTCTCATCCCATTTTCCAAATAACGTAGCCACTGTCCTTCCATTCCTTTCTTGAACTATACCATGTACCTGAAGGGCAATAAATTTTTATAGATTAAAAAATGTCAGTGATGGTTAAAAAGAGGATAATAGCACAATATCATAATTCTATGAAAATAAGAGGAGTTTATATAATTTAATAAATAGGTTACTTTGAGGGAGATTAAAGATCACCTGGTGAGGATTTCTGTCTATGATAGATTGCTCCTTGAATTTAAGCTTACATGAATATTCACGATTCCCCTCTATTCGCATGGTACCATAGTGATCACAGTACAACTTTCCCAGTATGAGATTGTATATTGATGTTGTAACCTGGAAAACAAAAGTTCGTTTTCAATTGGATACAGCAACTGTATGTCTACATATACATACATACATACATACATACATATATTTGTTCTTTATGGGGCCATACCTTACTCCACTGGAACACTTCTCCATCTTCAAACTCCAAGGTCAAAAAACCAACAGGATCCAGCTGAATTGAGCGACCCCAAAATTTGCTCTTTAAATTGCTATCACCCCACAATTTCCATCCTGCACCCTGACAATGACATGCTACAATCATTGGATGATGACTAACCTGACACCAAAAATAGAGTAACTGTCAGTGGCTTTATAGATAGCATTAAAACAGAAACTAATAATAAAATAAAATAAAAAGAAGAATCATGGAAAAAAAATGTAGTGCACTGTGCTGTTCTTTTCCCAGTACCCCAAACAGTGTAAGTGGCATTGATGCCTCTACAATAAAAGGAGAGCACTATCATTGTCACTTCTTAACACCTACATGCATAAGGTAATTTTTAAGATTGTCTCTTATACTTATTTGAAATTATGAGGTTCAAAGTCTTCAGCAAACACTCCTGTTTACCATCCCCCAGTAATTTGATAAGGACAAGGCTGATTTCACCAATGGATAGGAAGCCACCAGCTTTATTTATAGTTGGGCACCCAAACAATATCATTTTAGGTAATGATCTACTAACTGTGCTACCTTATTACTTTAACATCCTCTTTATTCACTCTGTTAAGGTTGAAACCATAACAAGGTTTTTAACTTAGCAAGTTTTTCTATAAGAATTTAGACCAAAAGTAAAAGGGAAAGGATAAAAAGGAAGAGCAAAAGAAGAAACAAAAAGAGGTAAGCTAAAAAAGCAAATCTTCATAGTGCCTTTCTATGCACCAAAGGATCAATAATGTATTAAATTTGCAAAGCTCTTGCAGTACAGCAATTTTGACATCAGACATATAAAACTAGGTTCAATTTCCCGTCATTGTAATAACCAGGTGAACTGATGCCCCATAGAATGTACAAATTCAAAACTAAGTGCAACATTCCTGTGTATAAGACTTACACATGAGAAAAAAAAAATGTTTCAAGTTGCGTGTATATTGAATTTGATTGTTACAATGACACTCTAGATTGACTACGTGAAACATGCACATTCTTCAGTCAAAAGGAAGACCTTAGAAGTGAGGTTAATATGCTTTGAAGCTTGAAGGACAATTTTGTGTAATAAAGAAAAACAAAAAGTAGACAACAAGTATAGACCATATCTAGAGTATAGACAAACCTTCTCCGAGAAGAAGTGGACGCCTTTATCTGGGAAGTCGGCCTCATATGTTTCCCCTAATAATGGATTAAAAGGTTTGCAAATTCTTCCTTCTGTTGAAGAATATCCAGACACAGCAAATGCAGCCACATTAAGAATTCTCATGAGGCTATTCCCCTGCAAGTTTTGGAGAGAAAAATTATGTGTCAGGGAATCTTGCCAAAGATTCAAATTATCAAAGTTTATGAAGGAAGTGAACTGCTATAAGCATATAAAGGAAAGATATGGGTAAAAGAAGGAAAAGAGGGGGGAAATCAGATAAAGCAAAGATGTGTAACTAGATTGACGAAGTGATATGGTGATAGAGAAATATTAGAGTAGGAAAACATTTTATTGCAACCAATGCTCTGTTTCCTCAAACAAAAAAAAAAAACAAAGTTCTTAGACTCACCCTTTTCCCCCATTCGTATGCACGGTCAAGTAGATATGAATATTCCAAATCCTCAAAACACTTTTGAAGAGAAGAGAGAGGCTCATTGAAGTAAACAGGAAGACAAACTTTTGTAAGATCTTTTCCAATATTATCCTTAATCATTGACCAAAGACTTACACCCTTCTCCTTTTCAACTGGGTCAGGCAACTTCTTTCGCCGTTTAATGTAAGGAAAGTTACTTCCAACTGATTTAATGTAAGGATCCATGTCATCTTCAGAATCAATAGCATGAAGACCCTCATCATCTGAAGAGAAAGATGATGTCCGGAAATCAGATCCATTGCTTTTGAAAGAACTTGATGATAAAAAGTCGCGAGTATCAAAGAATGTATGGTCATCCTCATCTGTTTCTTCTTCTGCAGCGTCAACTCTTTCATTATCATCATCTGAGTCGGTTATGCTTCCTTCTGAGTAAGAATTTGAACAAAAAAAAAAGGCCAAAAAAAAAAAATTCAATGAAAGATAGAAATGCTAAGAAAGTAATAACAATGACTTGAATGCAAACTAAACCAAAGAAGATAGAAGCAATTTATATAACGAAGCAATCAGCACTATAACTATTTTTAGTAAGTCGGCACCAGAACAGGACAAACACATGCTGTGGCCCAATGGTCATGTACTCTTCCTTAAGGGAGGGAAGACCATGGAGACCACATCTAAATCCAGCTGCAGCCTCTATTAGAGTTATCCAAATCAATGTAGAAAGGGAAAAAACACACAAGAAAAGGAAGAAAGAGCCAAGATAATGAAACGAATTGATAGACAAAGAATAAACTTATTAATGGAACAACTAGCAAGCAATAACAAAGATAAGTGACAGACATACACCACCTAATGGTTTGGTAATGTAAATCTAACAAGCAATAAAAAAGATAAATGACAAACATAAACCACCTAATGGTTTGGTAATGTAAAAAGGAAGTCCTTTACTTGAATTGAAGTCAAGACATGTGTGCTACACATTAAAACTGCATCAAGATAACATATGTACCTCTGCTTAACAAGCATTATAAGTTTTCTACAAATAAGTACAGCAAATACTCAGGCATGCTGATGATAGAACAAAAAAGAACTCCCTGACTAATAACAAACTGTGAACGTTGATGATAAAATCAACCATGTATCTCAGCACATGATAAACAGTCCAGCATAAATTAGCTTATGGAACCGACAATTGTAATAAATAGTTTTACTGCCAAATATCTTACCACTAGACTTGTCTTGCCTTATCATAGAGGAAGCTCCTTGGTCATTCGACTTGTTTTGGCTCTCATCAACCACTGTATTCTCCAGATCAACTTTTTCTGTCTACAAAATACAGTAAAAATAGCAATTTCTTAGCTCAAGATTGCAAAAAGAAGTAAAACCTTTGTTTACGGATAAGAGCAGTTACAGACTGAAAATAAGTAGCTAGAGCTCACTTTAAAGAAGTAAGATTACAATATATATATATATATATATATATATATATATATGAATCACAGATAAAGCAGAGCACCTTTTGTGCATGCATGTTGCTGCAATACCAAAAGACATTGATTTTCACCAAAGAAAAAGGTAAAAAGAACTCAATCACTTCAAGGTCTAGCATAAGCCTTATGGCTTTTAGGACTCCTGAGATTCTAATGTATGACCATATAGCTTAGCATCCCTAGGCAAAAGCTGCCTATATCCCTCGACATGTTCATGAACATATCAACTTCTTGCAGTATTTTAACGGACAGGTAATTGATGCTTCATATATGCCAAATACCAGATGCCCCAACTAAAGGCCATACAACAACAGAATTGTAGATGTTGAAAAAAGGGACAATAAGGCCCTACTTGCAATGCCTAGCTCATAACAAACTAGCAAGTGTAACCTTTTGTTAAGCATTAACTCAAAAGTCAAGCTGAAGTTAGTAAGATTCCAATTAACTCAAAGTACATATTTCAACCCTTCAACAAGGGTTATACTACATCTTGTAATGAACAAGATGGTACTGAAAACTTAAGTGTAAAGGTTCCTTATTCAGTCAGCCCCATTTTATCCCAAATGCACCAGCAAATTTGGAGAGGGAGAAGAAAAGGAGATTCTTTCTTCTCAAAAGAAAGGCAGACGTACAAGACAAATATAATTGCAAGAAGGTTAAAGAAAGAGGAAATGCTTTGAGTGTAAAGTAATATACAATAGTTACTTTGCCCTTGGTGACAAGATTTTGACATTCTCAAAGTGAAACCACATGAAAAACGACACTTTATAAAAGATAGAAACTCAAACCTCCAAGAAAAAAAAGCCACCAAGAAACAATAGAATTAGACAATTTATGTTTACTTAATGCTACTTTTTCAGAAGAATGCTCACTTGTGATTAGAGTATATAAACTGCTTGTCAAGGAACTTAAAAATTGTTACATTGTGAAGCAAAAACTTTGGAGTACTTAATGGATCATACATCTTATGTGCTTCACTCAGTGCAACCTAACCCAAATATTACTGATCCAACCACCAGCACAACTGCTGCTGTCACCACCATCAATGCCATTATCAAGATTGCAACAAGCCCCAGAACAAATGTCTCACAACTATTGACATTTATTTTGTTTCGAATCAACCAGACCACTACCAATCTTTTAAGTAACTACCTCAAAAGAAAGAGACATATAAGATTGAACTGCTCTCAACTTCTATGACACAGAGTATTCGCAAGAGTAATTACTGGAAACAACATACAAACAAGGCATATTAATGGAGAGACTTCAAAATTACATTTTGCCTTCACTAGGAGATAAATGGGAAAACTAAAATTTTTTTCCTTTAAAAAATCAAAATATTCCTTCATTTAATAATTTTCTAATTGAAACTGGCACTCAAGAAACATTGATAGTTAGAGAAACCAATCAGCCTCAATCATCCCTAAAAATCATATACTTGCGCAGCTAAAGCATTCAAAATGCACTTACAAAAAAATTAAAAAGATTTTAAAATTTATGAGCAGATATAGTTCATTAATCAACATCCTTCTTTAAACATCATTAGCAACCCTTCATGGACAACACATACACACTCTTCCTGGGTACATATAAAGAAAAACTCAACCGGTCCTGGGCTCAACACTACCCCATCTGCCCATAGAAGTATTTCAACAGTCTAACAGATTCAACTAGCAATAGACTAACTGCTTTTCTATATCTACCAGATGAAATTAAAGGAAATAGAAAATAAAATGGAAGATGACATTAATGTTCAAGAACAAATACTTATGAAATTTTATTTGAAATATTATTCAATGTCACCTCTGGTTTAGTGACCTAAGATACAAATCCTACATCAACTAACCCTTCTCCAATTAAAATTCAATGAACACCAACCACGAAAAAACACCGATATATCCTAAAATCTACATAGGCCTTCATAATTTCCATACAAAACAATAAAGTAAAAGAATAGCAAATTGATGTAATTGTTTCGAAACAATCAATCAATTTTTTTTGTCAAATTGAATGACGACTGGCAGCAGCATATTGTTTTCTAATTTTGATAACATATACCTCTAACTGACGCAAGGTGTCGATGAGAAGCCATTGTTTCTGTTTAAGCAACACCAGCTGGCTCTGCAACGCCGCAAATTCGCTCCTCATAATCTGCTCGCTATCTTGGATGGCCGATTCGCTCACCCCTTCCTGCAGCAGCCTTTGCCTCAACTTCTCCGTCGAAACCGCCACATTGTCCATTGGAGCCATGAGTTCGCTATTGGACATCCTAGGGAACATATCTTTAACCGCCTGAAGCGCCTCCATCCAGGCAACCCGATCTTCCCGCGTCTCAGCTCTTAAATGAAGCCTCTTTGTTCCGGTGAAGATCGAGAACCTCTTATCATCTGATCTGCTTTCCCTGATTGAGGAGACCTGAGAAAAGTTCAAGAATTCAAAAATCAATTCAAATTTGTTTTTCATTTTGCTTTATTTATTTTTGGTTAGTCCTTTTTCTTAATTTTGACCTTTAGATGGACTTCACCGAAGGGTTTGCGACGGGTAAAGGAATGATGAGAAATGGAATTGCGATGGTGGGAGATAATACGGAGAGACTCTTCGCCGATAACTTTGGATCCTTTTTCCGTTTCTTGGCTAACAACGATCTTATCGGGGCCATGGATTTTATAATATGATAAAACTCCGTCTTGCAAAACGAACCATCTCGGTCTCCAACCTTTCCCATAATTCACCCATTTGTAAAGCACTCCTGATATCCCGTTCCCTACGATGTCGTTTATCTTCACATCCACTTGCGGCGGAGGAGCCGAAGCCGGAGTCGTCGTAGCCTCTCTTCCCAATGGAATCCCGTTTCTCTGGCTCACCCGATTCAAATCCACGCTTCTACTACGATGATGGTGATGCTGATGGTTTTGATTGGACTGGCACTGGATTTGGGCCGTCGATCGGGCAGAGTTGGATCTGGTGGTGGGAGCGGAAGAGGAAGTGATTGTTACAGTTGTTACAGGAGGAGGAGACATGCTGATGACGTGGTCGGATAATGGTTTGACCGGGGATTGATCCGATACGGTGGAAATACAGCAAAAAGGATGCATAGGATAAATTTATTTTTAATAAAATGAAAGACTTTGAAGATCTTGGTATTGAGAAAAGGTGATGTGGCGACTGAGCACGGCAGTTGCAGTTAAACTTTTCATGGTTCTCTTTTTTTCTCAAGTTCTTGGATTGCCAGTTTTGAGAAATAGAGATGGAAAGTGAAGAGTTCTTTTCTTCTCTTTTTTGTTTTCCCGTGAGAACAATTTGCGGAGACGGTTACAAAAATATTCTAAAAAACGACGGCGTTTTTGAGCAAATAAATGGCAGTTGGCGAGAAGTTCGGCGGAGTAACCCGAGACAGAAAAGAAAGAATCCGGTGAGCGTGGTAACTGGTTTGGTTGGGCAGAGACTCTCCCAACAAGGAAGCAACAAATTCGTTGATTTTTAAGAAGCTACAAAATCGGAATTGAAAAAGAATAAGAAAAAAAAAACTCGATAAAGTGTTTAAATATGAAGGCGGTCGTTGGGGAAATATAAATGATCTTGGAAGATTTACATTTTTTAATTTTGAAGGGGTATGGTTAAATGTGGGAAGGAGTAGGGAAAGTGGGGAGCCGGCATCGCATGAGAGGAAGACACGTGTGGCCAATGAATGGTTGGGAAAGATTGACGGGAAATGAGCTGAAGGTAGGCTTTTGAGGATATTAAAAGAAGATGGTTTCGCCTTAAATCTTAGAAGGTCGTGTTGGATTCCGGCTAATAATGAAATGCTGCGGGGAAGAAAGCTGCCATTACTAATAGCGGGTTTCTCAGTTGCTTAAAGATCACTCAATAGTTTTATTATTTTATTTGAATGACGTATTTTTAATTAAACTTATGATTAAAATTTAATAATTTTAAATTAAATATAAAATTAATAAAAAATAAAAATGTTTTAAATAAATATTAATTTTAAATTTAATTAAAAATACATTTATCATTTTTAAATAAAATAATGAAAATTTTTTATTCATAAGATTAAAAAGATAGGGTTAGTTGAGATTGAATCAATGCCTTGCCTGTCTTTTTAAGATTTCTTAATCAATAAGTCAAGGAATTGAAAGTAATCTACTAGTGATTATTATATTAGGGGTCTTTTTTTTTTTTTTTTTCAAACTTTTTAGTCATTAGATAAAAAATTGAAAATTTTTTTTAATTATTTGCCAGTGAAAACTTCCAACGAGATTTTTAAAGAGTGGAAAGCATCCTGCTGAGTGTGCTGCTCCAACACACTATCCATTTCACCTATCTATTAAATTTATTGGCTATTTCTTTCTTCTTTTTTTTTCATTTTTAAATTTTCCACAATAGTTTTAAGGTTAACCAAGTCAAATCTTTTAATTTTAATGGCATAAAAAAAGTGTGACTCAGTTAAGCACTATAGTTGAGTTAAAAAATTGTAATTAAACTACAAATGAATGTCAACTTAATTAAAATTTTCCTTTTATTTAGAAAAGCATATGGTGTAATAATTATTGAGTTAAATGTTCATACGCGACTTAATTAAATTTTTTTATCATAACTGGTAATATCAAATATTTAAGTTTTGTCGAACTGATACTTTAATATTTCTTATTGTTTTTAGATGAAAAAAATAAAAAAAAAAGAAATGCCAAAATTTACAAAAGCAAACACGACATATAATTTTTTTAATTAAAAATATGATTATATTTTTATATAAATTAATTATGTTATTTTAACATTTAAATTTATTATGACATTTTTATTAAAATTGCTTTTATAATAGTTATTCAAACTATAAAATAAGAGATTGTGTGAATTGCCAAATAACAAAAGCTTAATTTAAAGATGATAAATTTGGATTATAATTCCAGCCAAAACACCATTTTGTCATAAATTCCAATCTTATCAAGAGAATTCCCCATCATTAAAGAAAACAATTTCCAAAAAAGTTTAGAGTCGGTTTTTTTTTTATATATATAAATTAAAACTGTAGAAATTAAATTTGATCACAAATACTTGAAATTAGAAGCTAGATGATTGATAATCTTTCTCTTCTATTATATCTTTGTACTTTTTGGGAGAAAAGTTTAATTTCCCAAAACAAGGATGTCGAGGCAAAGAACAAACCTTTTGAAATGAAGGTGCATTAGCTCCCTTAATTATGGGTAGAAGGAAGGAAGGAAGGGTAAGGTTTGAATTTCAAATTGAGGATTCCGATGACAGGTGGATTGCACTTTAAATTACTCTATGTCAATAGCTCGGCTGGACTGCAGCAAATGTGCTCTTCATTTTGCGTAGGCTAAACCAAACATTGGCTCAAAATAAGACTTCTTGACCCACCCAAATCGCACATCATTTATGGCCATCTCCATACATTCTTTTTATTTGAAAAAAGAGAAAATTCCAAATTAATAATTTGAGATTTTGATTAGATTATTCATTCATTTAATCTTGAGCTAAAATACTTTGGTGCAATTTGTTTTCTTTTTAATAAATCCCTCTGCTATACAAACTTTCATGTTTTTTACTTGTTTAGAATTTTTTTTTTCAATAGTTAGAAATATTAAAAATTGAATGTCAACCATTAAAATAAAAAATTTAATATTTTATCGATAAATCACATTATTATTGATTTTTTATTTAAAAAATTACTACTTAAGCTCAAAAATAAATTACATAAAATTAATTTTTAATGTAAATTAAAAAAATACATATTGATAATTATTATATCAAATAATAATTTAATTTAATAAATGATTTATGATTATTTAAATGATTTTTAATGCTCCAATTGGTGTCACATTGTATGCTAAATTGTTAAAACGTGCCTAAATGTGTCAAAGTACAAACAAAAGTGTAATCTTAAAAATAAAATTTTAATTTAAATAAATATTAATTTTTAAAAATGATTATAAATCAATCAATCTAAATCATGTATTCAAATGTGTCAAAGTATTGTACATAGGATGTTGGAAGAAAAAAAGTTGCCCCCACCAACCATGCGAAGTCAAGCAGCTGACGCGGCAATAGAAAATAGGGCAAAAGAGCGGAACTTTCGGGGAGGATACATAAATTAAAAAATAGTTGGCAACTAACCAGTACGCCATGGAAATACGCAAACAATAAAAGGGTAAAGTATCACGTGGTCCACTTTGATTGCAATGACTTCACGGCATTCCACGTGTCGCTGCTCTCTTACATGTGGTTATTAATTTTATCAACTCTTTTAACGGAAACGGGAAAGCGGAGATGATTCCTCCCTGCTTTCACCTGTAGGACTGTACGAGGATTCATCTTACTGACGTGGTAGAAAAAAGATGCCCGGCTAAAGGCCCAAGAATTTATTATTATTATTATTATTTTTGTTTTTTTATTCCAGCATAATCACTTGCTCGGACTCTTTATATTAGGGTTGGAAAAAAAAAAATTTTGAAAATTGATTTAACTTTATAATATTCAGTTTGATTTGATAATTTTTTATTTTATTTAAATTAAATTTAGATATTAAATTTACATATCATATACGAATTTCAAATCAAAAAATAAAAATAAAAAAAATCAAATTGAATTATATATATTTTTTAATTTATATATATATTAAAATGTTTATAAAATAAAAATAATAATTTTATATCAAAATCTACTTAAATATATTAAAAATTTATATTAAAATAATATATATATTAAAAAATTAAAATTTAATAAAATTTAATTCAAATCAAATAAAGATTCGATTCAAATTCAAATCAGATTTAAAATTTTCATAATATTATATAATATTCAAAAATAAAATCAAATTTGATCCAAATCGAACTATTGCCACTTCTACTCTATATCTCTGTTTGCTTTTTTTTCTTCTTTTATGATTTTTCTTATAAATTTTTATTTTTATTATGCAATCAAGCAAGATATTCTTTTTCTATAATTTTGATGAAATTTATAAATAATTTTTTAACCAACTAAATATTAGTTCATATAACATACAAATTGATCGAACGTATAAAAATTACAAATTCAAAATAAAAATTTAAATGATTTTTTTAAATAATTTTGTGGAAGTAAGACTTAAGTGTTTGTTTTAGGAAATCAATTTTGTTAAGTTCCGTCTACCAAACTAGAAAGTAATTCGATATGTACAACCTACATTAATTAGGCATTGGAATATTTAGCAGACACCTTTTTATTTTTATTATTATTAATTGAAATGTTTGATTAACTCGGAGAGTTGGAGTTGCTACTGTCTTCAAACCTTGCCGCAAATTAAAGGTTCAACTTAGATAAAGAAAGTTTTTTTTTTTTTAATGTATTTTAATATGAACTACTACTATATGTTTGTCTCATATTTTTATCTCAATTATTTAAATTAAAAAGTAGATTTACTAAGTAATGAATGAATCAAGTAATTCATAAATTAAAATATTATAATTAAATTAATAAATTACTATCTCATTTGGTGAAATATAAAATGTTGTCGTATTATTTCTCTTAAGCCATGATGCATATGTTTTAACGCTTGAGTTTCACTTATAATATTTGAATTGTATGAATTTTTTTCAAAGAAAAAAAAATTTTGAGTGTAACTTTTTGAAAATGAAAATACAGAGAAAGATTTACATAAAATTTTAGGCAAAGTTTTTTATTAAAAACAATTAAATAAAAAATAAAATTAAAAAAAACAATTTTAAAGTTTAATACATAGATGAAGTGTATACATTTTAATTATTTTTAAATAATCATTTTTAGTAAAATTTTGACATTAAATAATTACTTATCAAATTTGAATTATAAATGATATTTTTAATTTTTTTTTTACATATTATTGATTTTTTCTTTAAATTCTATCGATTTATAATTTATAATTTTTTTATTAAAATTTTAATTGAATCATTTTTATTAAACAATTTTAAGAATTTCACTTAAAAACTTTATTTAAGTTTTTATCTCAAAGACACATGAATTTTTTATTAAATTAAATGTTGGTACATACGAATATAATAATATTCGAATAGATGCAAAGTCATAAGTGAATTGCATGTTTCTTTGCCGCCATTATTGCATAGAATATTCCATAGGATTACCGAAACTATTCCCCAACTAAAAGAAGAGCCTGGGAAACTGCAATTAGGATAAAGATGGAAATAAAAGATGACAAGTATCCTTTTTCGGAAGGGAACATTTGATATGTTCGACACGTGTAAAGTTTCCTTTACACCAATTTTTTAGGTTACTTCAAATATTTTCTTTGTTAGGGATTTGGAATAATTGTCTTCCCTAACATTTCACCAAAAATTAGGTCATAAAAGCAAAATAGATTCGTATAAAGAACAAAACACACACAAAAAAGTTTTAAATTTTGGGAGGAATCAATTTATATTAATGTAAAATTAAAAAGGGATAAGAGAGATAAGTGAAAAAGAAAATCTTTAATTTACTTTGGGGAGGAATCTTTATGGAGGAATCGATTTACTTTTTTTTTTTTTAAATTATTGATTTCAATATATAAAAAAAATTTAGACAGATTAGTGAAAAATAAAACAAAAGTTTAATTTCATCACTTAAATCTATTAAAATCAATAATTAAAAAAATATAAAATTTTTTTATGTAAGTTGATCCCTCCCCGTTAAATTAATATGTACAACTTGATTTTATCTAACTTAAAACATATGAATGGTCTATAGGATATGAATCTAATGAAGCAAATTTGTTGATAAAATCTTTAATTAAATTTTGAAATGTTGATAACTTAGAAGAAATCATCTATTTCCTTAATTACCAAATCATGATAGGAGACAATGTATTTGCTTATAAACCAAAATGATCAAAGAAAAAAGGAAATTCTCGAATATTTGCTTATAATCGTTCCATCTAATTGTTTAGGTTAATTCAAATATTTTCTTTGGTAGGGATTTGGAATAATTGTCATACCTAATTCTTCACCAACAATTAGGTTACAAAAAGTAGAATATTAAACAATCTTGAAGTTTCATATAAAGAACAAAACACAAATTATTAAAAGGATACGTAATTGCAAAGAAAGAATAAAGGAATTCTCTTCTTTAAAAGATCCAAATAAAAAAAAAAAAAAGAAAGAAAATCCATAGATTAGAATTAGGGCACAATTTTGTAATCAAAACCATGTGGAATATATATTTTTTTGAATATGCACATTTTTTTACTTTATATAATTATACTCTTTTTATATTAATTAAATTGATAAATTTTGAAAATTTTATTTATAAATTGTAGATTTTATTATCATAACCTATAATATTTTTATGAATGGTATATAAATCTAATATAAATATAATATAAATTTTCCTTGAAAATTTTTATAAATGCTAACTCCAAAATGAGATATAAACTTTGACGAAAACAAAGGGCCATTTTCTGCTAGACGTGTTGAACGGTCGCTTTCATTCAATGTAAAATGAGAGGATGACACCGACTGTTAACGTGTATCGGAACACAGAGGATCATGGATAAATCACGTTTTCTTTTTTTTTTTTTTTGTCTATTATTACGTAAGTTTGGGTTTTGACTGACGTACGGTAACAAAGTGACAGACGCTAACGTGGAAAACACGTGGGCGGCAATCACCAAATCATACGGTGTCTGTCTCTGTTGTCTTGAAGACTTGTATCCATAACTATAAACCGTCCTCGTGAACTGTAGAATAAAATGTTTTAGCTTTTGATTTCTGATCACACACCTGGCGCTATGTTCTGTCGCCACGTGTTGAGTAAATGTGTATTCTTATGTGTACTGTGTATCGTGTACGTACTTCTCAATGATCAAATGGTTTATTTCCTTCATCATCCACCGTTGGTTAGATACTACTATTTTCCCATTATCAAACAATCATTCGAGACTTCATTTGTCGGTCAGGTTACACAAGGAAGCTGGCCCCCCTCACTCTTCCCCTAAAACGTTAAAATATTTATCTTCTTTTTTAGGTTAAGTTCAATTTCTATGTTTTTTTTTACAATTTAAAATGATTTTACGTAATTTTAGCGATGTTTGATATTATTAATTTTTTATCTTTAAAATTATATATAGTATAAATTATTTTGGCATTTGCAAAATATATATGTAATTATATAGTTAATTTTGATATATAATATATATTTTTTGGGTGTACATTAACAATAAAACAATAGAATAAGCCTCAACAAATATGATGATATAATTGGATTGATAAGAGAATATTTAATGTAAATTTAAAATGAACTATACATATATACAAATGCTCTGTGAGACTTAAATAAATTTTGCATGTCTAAATGTTTTATAATTTCCTTCTTGTTATTGAAAAAAGGCCTAATTAATCAGATACTTTGTAATCTTAGTTTATTAAAGGCATGGAAGGGAAGTTCAAAAACTTTTTTTTTTTTTTTGGGTACATGCATGATGAATGACATGTTCACCATGGTTCCTCGTGAGAGCACCAATGCTAATCACGTGTACTTTTTTATTCTTTAATTAGGGTTTGTTGATATAAAAGTAATTAAGACCCTAATAAGAAACTATATTCATAATAGGTTGGATTTTGTCAATAGCTTATCTTATAATACATACAATCAAAGCATGCACGTCGAATATTCATTTTTACTTTATAATGAAGTCGCAATATAAAAATTAAAAAAAAATTTATATGTGTAAAAATTTAAATATTAAATTTATTAAATATCATCTCTTAAATGTAATTATAAGATATAATTGAATTAAATTCATGTTCAAAGATTGATTTTTAAAAGTATTCTCTTTTGACAAAACTTTTCTCCTAAGATTGAAAGTTTTGTCTCTTCATGTATAAAGTTTGGCTCCAACATTTTATATCAATAAAAGGTACAATGATGGAGATTCGGGTAAATATTATGTTTCAAAAGATTATAATTAAACCATTTTTTTAATGAAATTAAATTATAGCAACCATTATCCTTAGTTATTTGATTACATATTTGAGATATTGTCAGTGGCAGTCCAAGCTAAATTATTGCTTCCCTTATTAATTTCCCAATATTGTTTTCAAAGGTAACAAATTATTCCATACATATTATATATATATATATTAATCAACGGCTCAAACATATCTATACATTCTACTTACGATGATAGATCCAAATTATTATTTATTTTTAAACAGATGCAAGTTTATTAATATACTTTTTAATTTGATTAAGTAATAATCAAAAGTTAAAAACCAAAAAATGAAAAAAAAAATCTAATAAGCTTTGAAAAAAAATAGATAAATGAAGCCAAATATGTTCATGTGGCATTATGTCGAAATATTTTCTATCAACAAGTACTAATAATAGTAAATTAAAAGAAAGCTACAACATTCGCTAATTAAAATTAGTTCAACTGAAAATAAGTAATTTTTTTGTCAATAAATCTTCGATTTTCATGGAAAAAAACTTCAATAACAAAATTTTGAATGCCAAACCTTAAAAACAAAGGTAAAAAAAATAAAAAAAAAAGGTGAGGTTGAGATGTTGAATGATAATCACGAGAAATGATACGATGCATCTTGCATTTTTTTTTAATTCATTATTATTAGTTGGTGGCTTTGGCGGTTTATGCTAATGCTACATTCCGATGCGAATCCAATCCAATCATGTTTTTTGACCAATGACCTAATTAAATGTTAATCATTCCTCTAATTATAACCCGTTTGTTGGAAGAATAAATAAACAAGGAAAATCTTTGCATGCGGATGCTCTATCGCACGCAAATTCACATTGGATATGGAGAGAGAAAAGAGAGATTAAAAAAAAAAAAAGTATAATTTTTATAGGTAAAAAGGTGGGAGAATGGGGGCATCGACTCTCGATTTGGCTAATATGGTTATATTTGTGCCATTTCTTTTTTTTTTTTTTATTTTATCATTATAGCCGAGTTGAAAGTGAACTTCTTGCCATGATTGTCTTTTTCTAAACGCTTTAATCATTTTAACTTATGCTTTTGTAGTGATAAAAAAGTAAAAAATTTCAGAATCAAGATTTATTTTAATTAATTTGTATAATTATTTTTAAAAAATAATATTTAAAATTTAAACTTTGATATGTATAATTTTTTATATTTTTTTAAAAAAATAATTAAAAAAGGGGTTAGATCATTCTAATTATTCAATGTCGCTTGGGTAAAAAAGAATTAGAATTTGCAAATGTGAACAAGCATATAGCTTGACATCCATGCATATCTTTTTGGTATCATTGAAACGAAGCAAGATAAAAAGTATGTTAAAAATGGTTGGATTAAAATTAAATCAATAATATTTTCAAGCTTTTAATTTAATGATTAAAAGCGTTTGAAAAAATATCAAAGATTTAATTTTGAATTAAAATTTTTTTTATTTGTACTAAAATTTTACTTATGATATAATAAAAAAAAATTGAATCAACAATGTGAATGGCATATTGGTGTTATGGTTACTAATATTGTAAATGCGAGTGGAACATTGGAGCATCTGTGTGTTTAAGTTGATGGTAGCCCATCTTTTCAATCCTATTCGATTCTTTCAACCTAATCTTTGGGTCCACCATGGGAGCTCACCATGTGATTGCCTAAAGAATGTTTTGACCGCTCTTGTCCCTTCAACAGCGGAAAAAAAAAAAAAATCCGTTGGGTTTTGTGAGGCTCAAATTCTATGCTGACTTTTCTCCTTCTCCATTCATTTTTTCCATTGGGTTTATATTCTTTTCCGTACGATTCAGAACCATCATTAATCATCATACTGTTAAATTATTATTATGATAGTTAATTTCTTGACCCCATTATTATGATTCTTATAGAGAACATCAACTATAGGTTCTCCTTTCTTCTCTACAATCTTAGTATAGTAAAAATCTTACAATGATGAATTGTAAATATTAAAATTTAAATTTGTTAAATTAAAAAATAAATACATAAATCAATTTAATTAGAAAAAGTATGCTAAAAGTTTTTCTTCTATAAAAACACCAATTGCAAACCAAAGGATGTTGATTAAAAGGGACAAAAAGTTTTCAAACCCTACATTTAGGCATTAAGTGGCTATTTAAGAATCAAGATAGCTTAATTTTAACTCAAAATCTAATTTTATCAACAATTTGTTTTGCACCAACTTTTGGTGAATATGTTGAATTTTCATAGAGAAAACCCCACAGCCATAATTATTAAATGAGGATCATGTGCTTCCTTCAATTTTACAGCTGTTCAGAGAAGCAATAAATCCACAGATAAAAAATAAATAAATTAAAGTAAAATTAAAACGCATGAACTTTACAACTCATTTCGTTATCATCCTCCCTTCTGGAATAGAAGAAAAAAAGTTCAAAAAAAAATAAGGAAGTTATCCCTTTGAGCAGAAATAAGTACCATTTGTCACCGTCATGAATTACCCACATGAACTTTCGCTGTAAAGCATTTGTTTTGTTTTTCAATTGTCAGTTTTTCAACAGCAGCCAAGTATGACAATCACTAAACAATATTGACTGTAATGAACAGCAAACAAGTTCTATACAGCAAGACAAAATTTTGTTGATATTACATGATAAGTTTCATGCCATATAATCCTAATCCTAATCCTAATATATAGAAATGCTGGGTTACACCTCATTTCATTACATGCAAGATGAGTTGGAGACAGACAAAAGTTGCAATGCTTAAGAGCTGATGTTGTTTTTTTCTCTATGGGTAAAAATTTGTAGGACCCTAAACTTGGGAATGAAATTGGAACCTAAAAAAAGGCTCTGGTGAATGGCAATACAACATATGATACAAGCTCTTTTGCAGCCTTCTGAGGATGACTAAACCTGAACATAATTCCATATTGATACTGTAATGGAGGGACAATTTTGCTGTATGGGCCCCCTAAAATGGTCTGGTGGTTGTGGCCTGTGAGTGATTTCATATCAAGTTGAATAGCTAAGACATTTTGTTTTGATATAAGAAACTCGTGTCCAGGCTGGGTTAGGAGGGGAGGGGGGGGGGGGGGACGGACGGGTGAGGTAACATATAGGCAAAGATGGGACAAGCAAACCTATGACCATAGGACAGACTCACGGACACTAAACCACTTAAAATAATCATGTCGTCGAGTGATCATAGAGATAAAGCAAATAATAGAACTATTTATTCTCATCAACAAAAAGGCAGCAAGGAAGAGACCAATTTCTAACAAACTGATTAATTAGTTGGATATATATTTGAATTAAAAATTGCATAAGATTAGTACAAAAGTAGTTGTCCATTATTAAAATTTTAAAATTTAAATTACGGTAATTATTATATTTTTGGTTGCGTTATTTTTATCACGATTATAAATATAACAAAGATCTTCACAGTTATTACAGTTATTACGATGATAAAATTTTTTTTAAAATTTTGCTTAATTTGTTACAAAATATAATAATTTTAATTATTATTATAAAATCTTTTATTTTATGATTTTTAAAGTAATTTATATCATATCATGTGTTTTATTTATTTAAGAAAAAATATTTATAGTAAAATATTCATAGTTAAAAAATTATTCATATGATAATTAAAAAATAACAATAGATAAATAAACATGTGAAAAATAAATAATCATAAAGAATGATATATTTAATTATTTAATTATCGTACTTATCAAATTATTACCGAATTATATTATACATAAATCAAATAATAAATCATTAGATATTTATAAATTAAATAAAAGCATTATTATTTATGGGCCAAAAGAATTATTTTTTATGGGCTTATAGTAAATCAAACTTGGTAACTTTCATGTTGTGGATAATCTTCAATAACAATAGCCTCTCAAGTTTACTTCTTCTACCTCTTAACTAAATCGCACAGACCTATACAACTTCTCATATCCTCACCTTGCATTCAATAATTTTTTCTCAAAACTTTCATCTTCATCCTCATCTCTTAGTTCTCTTATATATATATATATATGTGTGTGTGTGTGTGTGTGTTATTTGCTTATCTCTGTTAACCTCAAATTTCACTCTCATATTTTGTCTCTCATTTTAAATCTTATAAACTCCTGTCCTTTTCTACTAATACACCATAGTCCAATGCAATTTTAAACACACAAAATCACGATAAATTTAAAAATTAAAATAAAAAGTAATTTAAGTGTTGAATTAATTACTTACTTTAAATTGTATATACTTGATTTTGATTGAAGTTGAATTTAAAAGAATTGATATTTTTGAAAGTTTAAGTTTTGTAAGGTTTTTTTTCTTGATTTTGTAAATTTATGTTTATTTTTTTTCTTGCAGTTTTTATTTTAAATTTTTAAATAAAATCAAATGATTTTTTTTTAAATTTTTGAATGAAAAACGGAGTAGTGAGCAATAATAGATCGTTATTGTCGCTATTTAACATTACATCGCAATTTGCGACCACGATACATTTGCTATAAACGAGATTCAAATTCTTCTACCTTTTTTCTTTAATAACAATGACGGATGATGATGTAACCGTAAAATAACCGTTGTTATACCACTATCCGAGTGCTATTTAAATCTTTGTTAAAATCTAACCTAAATAATAAAAGAAAGCCTTGTGTAAGTTTGACCAAGATCTCATTCAATCAAAAATTAAAAACATTCAATCAAAAATTTAAAAAAAAAATCTTTTGGGTATTAGGACATAAGTTATGAAGTAAAAATTTGATAGAGTATCCAGAGTTGCGCACATGTTAGAACACGACAATCTGCACCAGTGGAAGATGCCATGGAATGTTATTCATTCAAGTTTCCTTCTGACCAGTCCTTTGAAGAAGTCAAAACTGTGTTCACATGAGAGGCAAATATTAAAATGACTGAGGAAATCATAAACAGTTTGAAGACGTGGTGTGAACTACTAGATCATGAATTTCATATGTGGAAAGCACACGGAAACTACCACTACCAATGAAATGGATGCCTTGGCAAGTGTTACATTCAAAGAATAAAGAGAAAGGGAATCTAAATGCTCTCAGGATGCAGCAAAACAAAGTATAATCTTTTCCAACTTATTAATTTAAAAATTAATAGCATTTAAATTGTGTAGTTAAAAGGTAATATTATCCTCTGGACTTCAAGGACAATGAATAGTTACAGATCTTGATATTTGATATTGAAGAACCAAGTAATATTATTTTTTATGACTAGTTTATTATACTTCTTAATATCAATATATATGTATAAGAGATATATTAATAAAAAAGAAGAGTATATAATTATAAAAAAAATTATTATTCCAACAAACGTTTAAAAATAACATAACTTTTAAATTAGTAGTTGAATTACTAATTACACAAATTTTCAATGACAGATGAAATCTTTCTTATTTTTTTGATAGTTTAAATCGAAAATAGAAAGCAAACAAATCATTATTTTTTATTGGCATAAATCTATTGAATGACAGTTAAAAATTTATACAAACAAGAAAACAACTATCTTTTAAAAATGAAGAAAATTTTGAGATTGAAAATCATCTAACTTTTTAAAATAGTTTCCAATATAGTTTGTATTGAAAAATATTGCAAAACAATATAGACAATATAAGATAAAGATCTAGAATAATTAAAAGTAAAATATCATTAGTACAAGAAAAGTTGTAATTAGCTAAAAAAAGTGGAAAACATCAATAGTCATATGGTTGGAGAAAAACACATTTAATACTTGACTGAAGACAATATTGTTGAAAAAGCTAGAAAGCTAAAATCACATGATTGCGATTTAAAATGAATTACAAAACTCTTGATTTTACGGATTTTTGAATAATAATTAGTGGATGCAATAAAAAGATAAATAATAATGTGATTTTAACCTTTTGAATTGCAGCATACAAAATTAAATTATTAAGCCATAAAAAAAAATAGTTTGAGAGAACCAATTTAAATTTATTTAATCAAATATACATAATATTTAAGGGTTTCCATTTTTTTTCCGCGGGGGGGGATACTTTACTTTACGGTCTACCATTGAGAATGAAACTCATTCAAGAAATATAGGCGCATAAATGAATGCATTCTCTTATACATTTAGTTTGTATTTGGCACATAAGATTATTATAAGATATAATAAAATAATATTATAAATAAGATTAGATTAAATAATGTCATAAGATATGCTAAAATAATATAATAAATAAAATTAGATTAAATAATATCATTTTATCTTATATTTGATGTGTACAAAGATTAAAATAGGATAATTTATTTATTGATAAAAATTATCTTTCTTTAAAATTTATACAATTTAAATTATTAATGTAATTTGATATAATAAGATATATAAGTTTAATCCCATGGATTAAAAATAATCCTACTTTTCCAAATAATTGAGTTATCCTTGGCATAAGATATCTAATCCTTTCAATAATCCAATCTTTTTATTTAAATGCATAATAAACACATGATAAGATTATTAGTATCTTATCCTTTAACTAATTATATGTGCCAAACATAGCCTTAATATTTTAAAACTTTCCAAATAAATGATTTTCTATGTTTAGAAGTTTAGTAATCCATGAATCTTTTAGATCAATCATAAGCCAAATCCTAAATTTTTGGTCGGTCATATTACTACTGCTGAATTTAGCATTAAAACCCTGGAAGCTAAAATGTGTTAGATGGTGGAGAGCCCACATGACATGCATACTTAACATTGGAAAGAGAGAAATTTTCATCTGGTTTTGCATTCTCTATTGGCCCATTTTGCAGGGCAGGGCCACAATTTGTGGACCATACAATGATCTTTGGACCATATATATGATGTTGGATAGTCAGAAATGTGCTCAAGTGATTTTTTTTTGTTGAACTTAAACCATTTATTAATAACTTCTTAGTTTCCAAAAAGGCAAGGGGCAAAATAATTTTTCATAATGTGGACTTTGTTTTGATTAATGAGATCAAATTTTAAAGGAAGCAGTTAAAGCTTAAAGAAAACACGTGTAGAGTTTTTGTAACTTTCTTTCCTTAACCGTTAATCTTTTGCTTTCTTTGTAGATGTTTTACAGGTGGTTAGATTAGACAACCTATAAAATAAAAAGAACTGAATTCTGCACACTGTTAATTACCTAATGGAAGTTTCTTCAAGCAGCAGGGGGAAGGGGGCAGTGGGGCTTTAGCAAGATAAACTGTAAAGCTAGATACCTGTTTCCATCAGGATGAAGTTCGCACACCTGATTGTCGTCACCAATAGCTAACAAATATCCTGAGGATGTTAAACCCTGCCAAAAAGAAGTGAATAATATTTTATACTTGTAAGACGCTCAATTTCAAGTTAGAACATCAAGAATACGAAATTATGGTCACTTCTTTAATATATTTATGGAATCGAAATTGCTACAGAACACTAATTGAGATTTACATAAGAAGCTCCTTAAGTTACTACAAGATCATTGGCTATACCCTAATTTACCACAAGGGCAAAGACCAAAGATGTAGAGAAACAAACTGTAGTATGAACTCAAAAATGAAGATGCTCTTTCATGGCATTGTTTACTTTTACCAAAAAGACTTGTACATGAAATTTACTAAGTGGCAAATAAAAATGAAGTCTTGACTAGCTTTCTCCCCTACAACCATCACTAGCAAATATAAATTACAAAGAGAATAATATACATTGTTTCATTCATGCAGTTAATTGACAATTATTTACTCCAAGCTCACAACTACATATGCAACAACTATATAATCATGGAAACAGAAAATCTCCCATCGTACAAAAAGAGACAGAAACTTCAAGTATGAACTTAGAAGATTTTTAATCATTTAGAAGGGCATTTTTTCTCTTTATGTCTGTACCCAAAATTAAGACACCTGCCTATGTAACAGAAGGCTTCGTCAGAAACTAATGCAGTAACCTTTTGAGTCTACCATACCTGGATTGTGACCACATTTTCCACAAATCTGTCCTCATTCTTTTCCTGTACAATAACTCTCTGCCCACTGCACAGCCGATTGAAAATAAAATCACATGCCTATAATAACTGATTTAGAGTATATACGCATGCCATAGATGTTAGAAAATTTTCACCATGATTCATTAAAATACAAAGCAGAGGCATAAGCTTAGTTGGGTTGCATCAATTAAGAAGTTTATGAACATAAAAGTTTGTACAAAAAAGATCAATACGCAAATAAACACAAAGACACAAATTTTTAATAGATTGTTCAAGTTGAATTGAATTATTGATCAACTACATGACATGAAGAAACTTCATCAGGCTTTTATTAATTTAATGCCACGGAAGAATAAGCACACCATATTTGTTTTCTCTGGACATGATGGCCATCCATTAAAACCACTTTCTAAAAGATTTCTTCATTTTATACATTTATAGACATTGGGATTCAAATAAGAACAACATAACATGGCCAACCCTCCCTGGCTTTGATGAATGTAAATGCGGACAAGCAAAAATTTTATTTGACTTCATATTAATGCAACCAAAGGCAATTGTCGTCAATAATAAAAGATTAAGGTTGATAAGCGCAACGGCACTAGCTTAAGTCCCTAAAAACAACATGGTAAAACAGCCAAAACCAATGCCACAATCATTGACTATAAGTAGCTCATAATCCCTTCTCATACATTATTAAACCCATAAAATTTCATAACAGATAATGTGCACATAAAGTGAAAAATGAAAATAATAAAAGAAAATTCACCTGTGAAGCCATGTTCTATAGTAAAGCTCCTCAAGTGTTTGAAATCCTGCATGTTATGTGACCCCGAAAGTAAATTTGGAGTCAATATTTGACAAGCTATAATTAATTGAGAAACAACTGTAGTAACAATTACCATTTTCCTAGCATTTCAGTTAACTACTGTCTGTTAGAAATTTATGGAAATAGTCTTATATTGGGTATAAAAATTACACATTTATAAGAGCAATCAATTCAACAGAGTAAATGGCATATTTTCATACCAGGAGATTATGGAGAGAACCAAAAGATTTACTCACCTTGATTTATAAAAATGTCATACAACATCTCAAATTTATTAAAGAAGGCAGCCATAATATCTTCTCTTCTAAATTCATTTGAAGTAGTAGACAGCTCTTTTAATACTGCATTCAAACATGTTGTTGGTTTCACATTACCAACATTCAAACCTATACCTGCATGATCATCCATTGATTTGTAAGCTTAATCATGCACATAAATTGTATAAATAAAATAAGGCAAGGAATATCCTATTTTCGATTAAAAAATGCACTTAAATAGATCAATGGTCTACCCATCCTGAAGCAAAAATCTTCCCAGGAGGAGAAGATGCTAACGGAAATGCATTTAAAAATGAAAGGGCATAACAGAACTACTGGAGGTGGAACTGGAAGTCAATATATTTTTGAAATTATGGGCATCTTCAAAGATCAAAAATTAACTTTTTAAGAAATTTTGAGGGTTACATTCGTCAAGTTTATAATTAGTCAGTGGCTCTGCCACTGGATCTAGGGACATGAAAACACAGACTGAAACATAAATTGTCAGACTGAATTTGCTTATTGGCACCAAAAGGAATGAGTCTTTTTACCAGAACTGACATTGAACTTCTTTGATTTATATGTTGAGGTGCAGAGAATGCCTCCAACTTTAAGGCCCTTTAAGTACAGATCATTGGGCCACTTGATCCTAACATCAAGAGATGGGAAGCCCTGAAACCATTTTTTGAAAAAGAAGTCTATGAAATCTAAACTTCAGGATCATGCTGAAGACTAATGTGCCATATAATAATGCTAAATGATCTGAATTTTCAAAGAACAGCAATAAACCCGAGGTAAATAACAGTTACCTAGTTGCAAAGCATGATAACAGCAATTACGGTTCTGTGATTTAGCTTTACTAGGTACTATTAAAAAATTGTGCTCCATAGTTTAAACCTTTGAACTTGAAGTTGATGCCTAGCAATTGTGGGCTAAATATCCTTTTCATTCAGTGGCATTCATCTTCTAAAATCACAGCCTTTAATATGCCTAATGAAATGATCTTTAAAGGTCCAAACATCACCTATTGTTTTCTACACTTTAAGAAGCTAACCTAACAAATTTCTTTAGCCCCAAAAAAATAGCCAGAAAGTCAGTGCCTCCTTCATTCCCTTTCTAAGTGAAAATATATCCATATAGGCAGAAAAGAGAAAGAAGAAAGGCTTACATTTCGATTACAAACATCCTTTATGGCCTCTGTCACAGCGAGAGACACCACATATTGTACCAAAGGCACAATTTTTCCATCCTCCATTTGCAATGTAAACGAAAACATAAGGCATCCCCTTGGAGACTCCCACGCATTGTTCGACCGACCTGCCAATTCTCCAAACATATACAAAATCATATTAATTGAAAACATAAAAATAACTTAAACGCAAGATTCAATTTTTAACTATTCAAAAATATTATTTACAGCTGTTTTTAAGTTTGTTGAAGTAATAACCAAACCGAACCTTACCTCGCCCTTTAAACTGAACATCACCTACACAAACTGCACCAATTGGAAGCTCACAAAAATTACTGTTCAAAAGCAAAAAATAAACTTTAGCATTCAAAAAATAACAAAAAACTTCAACTAAATTTATTTTTTCTTTTTTGGCCAATAAATCGTTTGCTTACTGAGAAACGATGTCGTGCGTAGAGGATAACCGCGGGGACCAAATAAGAAACCGACCGAATCGGTTAGTCGAGAGTGAATTAATAAACAAATCGACATCAAAAGCCTCTTCACCGAATTGGAAATTACTAATCTCCGACCGTAAAAGATTTGAAACTTCGCCGCCGTCTGGAAGCTTAAGAGCGTTGCTGATTTTCAATGATTTAGCACTTTCGGTTTCGGCAGATGATTTGCCGCATAAAAATAGTGTACAAGTCGAGCTCTTATCCATGGCTGAAAAAAATAAAATAAAGGAAAAAGGTGAATACGTAAGGATTAAAGGTGAGATTAAGCCTTTAACAGAGAAAGAAAATTACCCGAGGATGCGACGCAGAAAGAAAGGCTTGAGGGGATGGGATTGTGAAGGGAGAGAAATGGGGGGTAAATGTGAGGGTAAAGGAAATGGAAGCAGCTGCCTACTAACATGCGAGATAAGCGTTTGGCGAAGCCAATTGGGAGACTGGTTGTTCAACGACAATTTTGACTGCCGTTAGGCAGTAATGAAGGGAAGTTATTCTTACGGGAACACTCGAGGAATTGGCATCACATACGTCACTGAGACCGTAGATTTTAGTCATGGATTGATGACTTGTAAAATTCGGCCGACATGTGACTGTGACGCTAATTTTGAATCAGGTTCGTGAATTGGCCGCCCAGGCTCGCAATCCCCAACTGTTAAGTGGGTTTAGGTATCTCGTTTTAAAAGGTGGGCTGGGCCGGGCTTAGATTAAGATTTTCATTTCCAAGACCATGCTTTTCAAATTTTTATATTCAAACGGTGCCGTATAGAGTTCTATGTCTCCACCTTTTAACTCTCGTCTAACAAATTCATCTTCTTCATCATTGGTTGAAAGGCAAAAGCAAAAGCTTCCAGAGCTTACTATTACTTGCTTGTTCATGGAGGAATTGCAGACTTCTCTTCGAGCTCATGGCTTAACCGTTTCAAGCCTCCCCGATAAAGGCCGATCTCTGTTCGCCACCAAGGATTTCTATCCAGGTTTTCTTTCGGTTTGATCAATTAATCTCTCGATAGCCTGCGAAATGTAATCTCTTTTTTAAATGATTCATTGTTTGTTTTCATGAAAATGAAACTTTAATTTGTAGGAGAAATAATTATTAGCCAAGAGCCGTTCGTTTGCGTGCCAAACAACTCCTTAACCGAATCAAGGTGCGATGGATGTTTCAGCAAAAGCAATCTCAAGAAGTGCTCGGCTTGTCAGGTTGTTTGGTATTGCGGGAGCACTTGCCAGGTATACTATGTTTGAACTCAGTTAGTTGAATTTCTCATCAAATCAATTGAAAAAGCATTGATTGGTTAATGACCTATTACAGAAGCTGGAATGGAAGTTGCATCGACTGGAGTGCCAGGCGCTCGCTAAGCTTAACAAGGAAAGGAGAAAGTCTGTTACGCCCACAATCCGAATGATGGTGAAGCTTTACCTTAGGAGAAAGTTGCAAAATGAGAATGTAATGAGGCTGGTTATTGTTGTTTCATATGTGAAACTTTTGTGCCGAATTATTAAAAATTGCTTGCAATTTCCAGGTCATCCCTGTTACTGCAATAGACAATTACAATTTGGTGGAGGCTTTGGTTTCTCGTATCCTTTCTTTCTCTTTGGATTCAGTCCATTTTGGTATAATACCTTTTCTGATGTTATAATCCTGCTGTTCAACTATTTTCTTTACCCTTAAATTGAGGAAAGACATGTCGGATATTGATGAGAAGCAGCTAGTGTTATATGCACAGATGGCCAACCTTGTTAAGTTGATTCTTGAGCGCCCTGACATCGACATAAAAGAGATTGCTGAAAACTTTTCCAAGGTCCTTTTTTTAGCCATTTCAAGCTACTAATTTCTTATTTTATTATTTGTGAAGCATAATCACTTGAAACACTTTAAATTTTGGAATGGTTGTCCTTCGTCCCTCTAAGAAAGAAATTAATGAAGGTTATTTCTAGGTACTATGGGAGAAGGCTAACATTTCTTCCATGCGATCTTTTGCTATTTTATTATTAAAATCTCTTCTCTTAAATTTCAAAACAACAGGAAGAGTGCAAGCTTCTGTTGGAAACCTGAGGGTTACTTAAAACATTTCGCAGAAAGGATCAAGGTTGTCTAAGTTGTGTTGTAATAAGATGGATATTCAATCCAAAAGTTCATGCAAAAATACAAATGGCCTAAATAAGCAGTCCGGGAATTTAATACAGTGTAATATACCGTTTCTTTTAAATTATTCTTTGCATGTAGATAGTCTCTCTTTATTTGACCAAAGTGAGGAATCTTAACAAGATCTGTCTAAAATGGATATGCATATGTTCTTATCTACTAATTCTGAAAACGGCAGTTTGCATGTAATGCACATAGCATTTGCGACAGTGAATTGAGACCCCTAGGGACAGGACTGTATCCTGTTGTTTCCATCATCAACCACAGGTAATAATGCTTATAGATTCGTGCGGTATGATATCCATCCTTGTGGTCTTGATTTACTAAATAATCATTATGCTGTAGCTGTTTGCCAAATGCTGTCTTGGTATTTGAGGGAAGGTTGGCTGTGGTACGTGCTGTACAACATATACCGAAAAATTCTGAGGTGAGAATTATTGCAGATTTGTTCTTTCCGGTTATGTGAAGTGATGTTAGGCTTTGTTTTTCTCTGTGTTTATTACTGGATCATACCGGAGCTAAACCATCAATGGAATTTCTGGCTGTTATCTTGCCGAAGCTTTATTTTGTATAGGGCTAGAATACTCGCTCAAGAAAGAAAAATGTTTCTAGATGTTCAACAGCAAGTTTTTCAGCTTTTAGCCTTGTAATATATTGGGGAAAAATATAGTAATTGTCCTATTAAATTTTTCATGAAGTCTTTTTTTTGCTCTTTCTCTAGTATTCCTTTGTTCTTTGTCTTTGAAAACTATAACTGAAGCTTAAAACAGCTTTGAGCTAAATACCAGTCTCATAACAAAGCAACAGAGAGGAATTTACTAGAGAATATAGAAGTTTCAATTAACCAGTCACATTCCTGAGATATTATTAGAATAATCCTTTGATATATCTGTTTTTGCAACTGAATGTGCTATTCATTTTCTTATATTTCCTAAGGTATCGATCAGTTATGTAGAGACTGCTGCAAGTACCATTACTCGGCAAAACACTCTCAAAGAACAATACCTTTTCACTTGTTCATGTACCCGCTGTATCAAAGTGGTACTTGCACCATTGAATTTTTTTATTCTTTTCCCATGTAACCCTGTTGCATTTGAAGTGGAATTTTTTATTCACTGATTAACCAGTGGTTGTATTCTGCTGAAGGGTCAGTACGATGATATCCAAGAAAGTGCAATTCTGGAAGGTTATCGGTGCAGGGACAATAGATGCAGTGGGTTCTTGCTTAGAGAATCTGGTATGTGATTATACAGAATTTAAGTCAGTCAAATGACCTAAACAAGATTTTTACACATTTTGAAGTTTGGATATGCAGATGACAAAGGATTTGTCTGCCAACAGTGTGGCCTCATTAGAAACAAGGAAGAGATAAGAAAGATAGCAAGTGATATCAAAGCTTTGTCAGACAAGGCTCTTAAGTCTACTTCCTCTGGCAGTATGCTTCTCTACTTTTCTCTATCTAGGAACTAATCATCTTTGGCAGTAATTCAATTTAATATAGTTGAACATAATTTTGAAGTTGGTTGCTTGTTATGGTATTTTAATTTTTTAATCTTTCTCCACTGCCACGGTTTGAGTAAATAATTATCTCCTTGGTGAATTAATGTCATCTGGGAACAATATCAATTTGCATTCATTAAAAAAAAAAAATATCGAGAATGAAATTTGATTCTTAACTTGAAGTGCAGATCTTCAGGAAGCCATTATTTTGTATAAAAGTATCGAGAAACTCCAGAAAGAAGTGTGCCATCCTTTTTCAATCAGTTTAATGCCAATACGGGAAAAACTTCTTGAGGTACTTCCTTGAGTCAAGTTCATACATCTGAGTAGAATGCAGCTTGAAGAAACTTAATTTAAAGATGATTCAATTTTGTATGATATAGCAGCAGAATTCTTACTGGTGATTTATATTTTATCATCTTTCCCAATGTCTTTATGTTCATATCAATATATATTCTTTTCTTGGTACTTCTGATCTGTTGAACGGCTAAATTTCATGTTTCCTCATCTGTCAAACATCTTTTGGTAAAATAACTTTGGTTTGTTTGCAATTAAAATTGAGTAAACTTGTGATTCTGCTAAAATTTAATCAATTGATTCTTCAGATATTAATGCAGCTGGAGGAGTGGAAAGAAGCTTTGGCAGTTTGCAGATTAACCATTCCAGTGTATGAAAGTATGTCATGTTTCAACTTGAACTTTGACAAGAAACAAATTAAAGATCTACTTAATTGTTATCACTTTTCTCACTTGTCATGGTAGTAGGAGTGGGAAGAGGCAAGAAAGTTTAATTTCTCTTCCTCTAACTTATAGCATAAGGCAGATGCATCAAGTTTCTTTTTCTTTTCTTTTTATTTAATCTTTCTCTAATATTCCATGAGTTTAGCAACCCAATTTAGTGGTTTTAATCCCTAGGAATAACCTAAAAGTGCATTTCTAATCCTGCTTCAGACCTGTGAGATTTTCAATTTAGCCTGAAAACTTCAGTAGAAGTTTTGATAAAGCTGGTTGAGTCTTGGATTAGTGTACCTTAAAGATAGGTAAAGTATAATGGTCCTGAGTAGGGATGTAAATGATTCATTAGTATTCACAAGCTGCTCGAGTTTGATTTGAATAAAACTTAAATTCGGCTCAGTTATTATCGAGTCGAGCTCCAATTCGAGTAACTCGACTTATCAATTGAGCTGAGTTCGAATATTTTTATACACAGCTTCAGTAGCTTGCGAGCTTAATTGAGCTTTATATTTTAATATATTTTAATTAATAAAATATCTTGAACTTGAGCTCCAGCTCAAGCACAAATAATCGAGTTTTTATCGAATATAAGAATTGAGCTTATTTTTTCATATTAATCGAGCCTAATCAAGCGAACTCAAGTAGCTCAATTTCTATTTCAAGCGAGCTCGAGCTTAATGCTATATCGGCTCGAACTCAAATGATTACAACCCTAGTCTTGCGTCGAGAAATTACTGGCATTCTGACCTTACCTTTCTGTTTCATTTCAGGGGTCTATCCAGGATTTCATCCTTTGCTAGGATTACAATACTACAGTTGTGGAAAACTTGAGTGGTTAGAAATTTCTTGCCCTTGTTATTTTACTTCATTCTCTGGTGCACTTCTTTCTTCCCTTTGCTTGAACCTGGAAAACTTTAATTAGAGGTCGTTTAGAGGAAAATATCCATTATTTTCATTGTAACATGTAGGTCGAGGCTTCCTTTGAGCTAATGGTAAAATGTACTGAACGGTTTTGTTGTTCATCTTTAACGGGTCAATAAGTGGGCATGACCTGCGTTCATGACCTTTTTGTTTATGAAAGTTCAATCAGGGATGTTTGAATCATGAAATGACATCTTCACAAAACCTCAACATCCCTTTCATATGATTTGATAGTTTTAATCTGTTTTGAATCAAAACAACTTCAATATTAATCATGACAGGTTGCTTGGGGAGACAGATGATGCTATCAAATCATTCACCAAGGCCATTGATGTACTGCGAATCACTCATGGTACAAATACTCTATTTATGAAAGAACTCTTGATGAAGTTGGAGGAAGCTCGCTCTGAAGCTTCTTTCAAGCTTTCGTTTAGGGAGTAGCAGATTCCTGGCAACTGAAGCGGCATTGTCTTGAATGTGAAGCATACAAGCTGCATCTGACAATGCCTCAATTTTCCGGTTCAATAGTGAGAAGCCATGAATTTGGTTTCTCTCAAGCTCGTTGGAGATTTTTCAGCTTCAATGAGAAAGGATCATGTATTCACTGCAAAATCTGTATCCGAAGGTACTTGACTGTCGTTTTATACAAATATATTTTTACTATTTAGGATTGATGATTTTCATTTTTAGAGCATGAAATTCAAATTTTGAGAAAATTGAGAAAGGGAGGATTAATTTTATAGGATGAAATAAAATTATTTTATTTCATATATTTGAAAATTAAATTTAGAAGATGACATGTTCATTTCTAAATATGTATTAACGGCCTATTTTGTAAGTTGCAACGATCTAGTCAAGAATTTGAAAACTGTTCGTCACAAATCATGAACATACTCAGCGAACAGTTGAATTGAGACAATTGGACTGCCAAAATCAATTCAAGAAAAAAAAAAAAAAAAGGAAGATTGTTAGGCAGACACCTTCATGAACTCACTGAAGGATAATGTTTCATCTATCTAAGAATATAATACCACAATGTTACTTTTACATGTTATTACAAAGGGCGGGAAATGAGCTTGATTTGGCATAATTTCTCGTAGGCCAAACAAAACCATCCAATAGTAGCAAAAGTTGCTCTGGCAAGCATACTCCCCATCTTTACCAACTCTCACCCTGACTTGCTTAGATGTTCCTGGAGCTGACAGCAAAGCTTTGACATTTGAGAGAGCAACTTGCATTGCTGTTCTTGCGATGTTAGTGACTGGGATGTTACATGTGGCATTGGGTCTCTAAGTAGTTGATTGAGCTTAGAGCATAGCATCAAAGCGTCCTGATTATTAGAACATGCTTCAGCTATAAGTTGAAGCAGTTGACAGCTTTGGTCTTGAGACAAAGATGGCTGGGGAGGGACTGGGGGAACTAGAAAAGGGTGTTTAAGTAGCTGAGGAATCCTCCACCTCTCCTTGCGGTCCCATGCAAGACATTTCTTCATGAGATCAAGCAGCCAGGGGTTAGAAACTGGTCCATACGTTATCTCATGGTTTGGATCTGTTATAACTTTAAACTTGGACCAGAATGTCTTGTACTCAGCAAAAGGGGTCCTCCCATAAACCATTTGGTAAAGTATGCATCCAAGGGACCAAATATCTGAAGGTCGGCCACATTTTATAGTATTTCCATTTGCATCACTTTCGTTGCACATGAATGCCTCAGGAGACATGTAACTCAGAGTACCCACCTGTAGTGGTAGAATACAAAAAAAAAAAAAAAAAAAGCTTTAGGAGTTCTCTGGCTGATTGGGTCTAAATCATTTTAGGTACAAGAGATGTTTATAAAAGCATTAAAATGACAGACCCCAAAACATCAAGCACTTTTGTTGACCTAGTGATCAACCACTTCAGATAAATTGAGATATTCTTACAACATGTTGCTATAGACCATATATAAATAGCAGTATCTATCCGATAATAATAAATGTAAGTAAAAGTGCATTCATCATCATTATCTTGCATGATATAATCAAATTTCTAACCGATAAGAATAGTAAATTTGAATAACAAAAGTGAAATTAAAAGTTGGAGAGAACAATAAGTAATGACTACCTGTGCATCCCTTTGGATGTTGGTTGTGTCGCTCATTATGGCTTTGGCAATACCAAAATCAATAAGTTTTAGGGAACCTTTTACAAGAAGGAAATTAGCTGGCTTCAGGTCGGAATGTACAATACGTTCCTCATGTATAGTGTTGACAGCTTGAAGAATTTGCTGCAAATTGCTTCAACAAACTAATGACTATTCTGCTTTTTTGCATAATATTAATATATAAGATGACCCTGAATGGCACACAATTCTAAACAAGGAAACATCAACTATCCCTGCTTTCTATAAAAAGAAAGTCAAAATCAACTCACTAAAGAAGATATAAAAAGCATGCAACTTTCCCTAGTGGCAGAAACAGAAGTCTCAAAAGAATCGTTAGGAACATGCGGATAAGAACATAAATACATAAAGTACAAAGACTTTGCTTTCATTTTTCTGCATATAGCGAAATAATAATTGGAGAAAAAAGTCAATATTTTTCTTAGAGTGACACAATGGGTGGTTTGCTTCATTATGACCTGCAGGTCACTAGTTCAAGTTGCCAAAACAGCCACAACTAAAAGCAAGGATAAGGTGCATAGATCTAACCCTCCCAAGAGGCCTCATGCGCCGTCCCCAGACCCTGCTATGCAGGGGCTCTATGCACTACATGTCCCTACAAGTAAAACTTTTTTTCCTCTTCATTTCTTTCTTTACAGCATTTAATAGTTTTTCTCATGAGGAAGTGCGTTATGTTATTTATAAGCAGCATGATTCAAAATACTCATGGATGCAAGAAAACACCATCACTGGTAGCACTTAAACATGTTTGGGCCGACTAGAGCTGTTGAACTAGAGCTTTGCAACAAGTGCTATCATGTTGAAATTTCTTTAAAAAATTAAATATATCTATGCATGTTTAAAGACTATCAATTTTGTCTATCAGCTCATCATTGCAACTCCTTTTTATAAATTCAAATTTAGAGGTTCTAAACGTTAGCCTGCAAAAGCACATTTTAGTTTTTACAAAAGCTAAAAGTTGTTTTCCAAAATCCTTATTTGATCCAACTTCAGCTTTCTGGAGTATTTGCTACTGCAAAAGCTGGGAAAAAACATCGCCTTATGGCATGTGTGTCTTTGTGTGTATGTTTTTAGAAAAAAGCTCAAACATAGAAGGGGAGAATAAAAAAGGAGAGAACACTTTATGCCCAAAATATAAGAAGATAAAGAAATGGATTAACATATTGAAGTGAAAGATAAATACAAATAAGTAGAACACAAAGAGAAGGAAACAAGTCAAATAACCAGAGTTTCCTCCATAAAATATAAAATTTTTAGCCTCAATTAAATGAAGGAATATTTATTTAGGTGGACTGTCGCTAGAATCCCAGCATGAACAAGTAGAACTATCAAGTTTCAAATTAACTTAAAAGATGTTAATGAATGCTCTCAGAAGATTAAAGCATACAATGTGAAAAAGTTCAATATCTTTAGCAACAAAGGTTCAAGGTAAGGGATAGCTTTAGAACCTGCCAGTAAAACCGAAGCCAGTTCTCATCTATGGTCTGACTGGAGCTATACATTTCTTTCCATTTTTGGGATAGCATGTGAGCCAAATCAATTTCTCCATATTCAAGTACCATGTATAGATAGCCATCATCCTTAACTCTGCCATCTTTATTTGAGATGCACCCGTTCATGACTTCTTGGAGCAGGTTCTTATCTGTCACCTAATATCAAGAAAGACTAATAAATAATCCTCACAAATTGCTTCAGGTTAAATTCTATCAACAAGAAAGCTGATAAATAAAATCAAAGTTCAAGTCACTTATCATAATAAAATGATAACCATTCTTGCCAAATAAGATCTTATTTTTTACATGCATTGTGCTATGAGGAGTTTTCTTATGTTCACTATGGAGCACTTGACAGTGACATTGTGTGTGCATATCTTTGCATCATCATGAAATTTAAGTGCTATAAAATTATCTCAGCGGTAACAGACCCCCTCCCAGGCCCCCGCATTTGTGGAACCATTGCAAATTAACAACTCCAATGATCATAAAATTTTCCAAACAGTCATGCCTGCAGAAAAAAAGACATGGTTAAATTCCACAGCATATCAACTGGTCACTTAGTCCCACAAAATCACTACACCACCATCATATACATAGTTAAAGCCCTATTGGAAGCATTTTAATTTAACATGAAAATTTTGAATAATTTGATTGTATATAACAGCAAATCCATTAAATGATTGCCTGTCGATTTGTATTGTTGCTGAACAAGCTGGAATTATCAAAAAGAGTAAACCTTTTTGTATTTCGGAAGTTAACATGTTCCTATGGGTGAAAGGGAGTACCTCATAGTCTATTAACTGGATAATGTTGTTCTTTCCCTTCAACCTGTTTAAATATTCAATTTCCTGGCAAAACCCATATGCAGTAGCATAGTCACGACCTTTGAGTTTGATTTTCTTAAGTGCATATATTTTACAATCTGATGAAATGACTTTGTGGACCTCGCTGCTTCCTCCACTGCCTATCTTTCCAAGCCTTTGATACAGCTTTCCATTCACTTTGAAGAACAAGTCAGGATCATAATTCCGCTTATGAGGTGCTGATGATCCTCTACTACCTGTAACATATGACTGCTTCTCTGCTTTGGAAGGTTCTAACTTTACATCTGAAGTTACATCTTTTGGCACTGGAGCCTGAGATTGTATATTAGTGACATCACCTGCAAAATCTTGCCCTTTGATTGACTTAGCATACTGAGGACAAGGATCCTTTGAAAGTTCATTTTCATTTGCCAGGCTTACTTCTTGCTTTCTGGACAAGTCAAATTCCTTAGCCTCGACTTGGGCATCATTGCCAGAGGTAGAAGCCCGTGCTGCAAGAGCTGTCCGATCAACTAGCAATTTTTTCATTTCCTTAGTTGAAGGAAATGGTTGCTGCAATATATCTCCTTGATTTCCATGTTGAGGATTCGCTTCAACATCTCCCAGGGGTTCTTTTGCCACGTGAGAACCTCCTTGATTAGAACAAGAGCAATAAGTTGTCAGGCTAAGTATTGGAGCTGAACTTGAATGGATAGATGTTGTGGTAGCACATGATGACCCCACAACTGAAGATTGTGTAAGAGGTTGTCCTAAGAAGTTTCTTAACTGATGTATCTGATCTTGAATAACTGTATTTCTTTTAGCCAATGAAGAGATCCCACCGTCAGACTTCAAACTGATTTCAGATTTTGTGTTCTGAAAATGTCGGTGCTTTGACTCATTATTGACAACAGTTGATGCCTCTACTTGATTAAATGCATCCCATTCCATTTCTGTCAAGGCAAGTGAACCCATATGAGATAATAAGTTCTCCAATCCAGTGGCCATTCCATCATCGGCCCCTGCAGATTCATTAAAAGGGAAGAGGAAATACATCGGGAAGCATACTGACAAATTCAGGAACTACAGATAACCAGCTTTAGTTCAACTATTTTGTCACAATGTAGCAAAGTATGGTGGCAAAGAATAGCCAAGGAAAACATAAATTAGCAATTTAGAGGGAGCATTGTAAAACATATTACCCTGGGAAGTGACGTTGTGAGCAGTTAAAAACTGAACCTTTCTCTGACCATCAACATTTTGAGATTCTACATCCTGCAAAGGGATGGGATTATTCTCCCTTTTATCATCAAGGGTTTTCGTGATAGTTCCGGTGATGGAAGGTGGAGTAATTGATGCATCTTCTTGAGACTCCCGAGCAACAATTTTTTCCTTGAGTGGCTGACTATGACTCAATGGAACACAATCCCTAGACTTGTTAGTATCAGCATTGGCACCCACATTTCTAGAAGCTGCGCGCTGGGACACCACCATTCGTCTAGGCATTATACCATTCGTCTGAATTGTACCTGGAAACCCTCAAAATTTCCAAAATAAATTTACGTTTGAATAACTCAATTCGATTCATTAGCTAACAAAATTCATCCAATAAATTATGATTTTATTAATTGACATAAAAAAAAAAAAAGAACTAACATAGCTTAATTGAGATAAATATAAACCCTAAATAGGTTAAAATAAATTATCCAACAAAATTAACAGAAAAACCCTAACAGCAACTAAAATTAAATACTAACCAAGTAAAAGTTAGTGTTTTGGCTGAAGAATACTAAATTTGAAGAGGTAAGAGAGATGAGGTGTACCGAGAGAGCGATGGCGCTTGAAGGCGGCTTGGACATCACGGATGAAGCCGGGGGGGAGGAAGATGACGATGTGGAGGATGAGGTATCCTGATTGGGGATCGGACGGACCAGATTGGCCGGTGGTGGGACCGGAAGGTTAGCCTCCCTGTCCATGGCCGGATCTCAACGGCATTTCCGGTCTATGGTGAGAAGAGCCAGTTTCGGTTGAAAAAAAGGAAGAAGAATTAAAAAAACCATTGGGTAGAAATGGAAGGAACATAGACTCAATCGGGTGAGACTAGGGTTATCGTCGTGTTGTCGTCCATGAGAAGGAAAAATGTGTTCAGAGGGGAGTAACTTGGTACTGAGTGGACGAGTGAAAGTTTTCGAACTTTGAATGACTCATTGGCGCTCTCCTTTTTTTTTTTTTCCTCTTTTTTTAATAAAAAAAATCATTGGACGGGGAATTTGGGCCTTTTTTAGTTAGAAGCCTATGAAGAAGTTAAACTGGCCTTCTGTCTGATAATTTTTGTCCTGATAAAGCAGGAGACCGAAGACATTACTCACTATAAGGAAATGAATGTCCAAATCCTTATGGGCCATGCCCAAGAACATGGTCTTACATACTTTCGTTCGATGGTTCATAGTATGTTTCTCTTTCTTTTTTTCCTTTCAGTAATTTTTTACATAAGATTCACCGAATCTAACTGTTCTTTACCATTCGGGTCAAATGCCCAATTGCTTTTTTGCAATAAATTTAGGAAGCATTAATTTTGACGGCCCGTAATCGATAGACCACAACCAAATGGTCACCTGGCGTTTGCATTAGTATACATTGCTTACATTTGTATTTAGATAATTTTTTTTTTAATAATTGAGGTTGTCAAAAATTGAAATGAATCACTGAAAATAATAGTCCGTATTAATAGATTAATTATTGACTAAATAGATAAACTTTTTATATTTGTAAAATGAATTTATTATCGAAATAAATAACGCTATAAAAATCTGTGATAGATTAGTAGCCATTTCTTTGTGAAGGTGATAGCAACAACCTTGCTTTTAGCTTTGATGTGATCATTTAGCTTCATTCCCACAAAATTCAAGAAAAGCAAACCAGCTAAATTGACTTGTGATTTTTTTTTTTATGCGTGTGTGGATAACCTATAACATTGTGATAAAACAAGTTTTGTTAGTTATCTAAGGACTACTTGGGATTCAAATTGAGCTTAAAAGGACTATAATTTTCAAGTGGGACATGATTGTATCTGAGGCCTTAACAAGCTTGATCAGATGTTCGAAATTTGAACACAAGTTAGAAGACAAAAGTTTTTCATTCTTAATGTACACACCCAACAGAACAAAGCATCAACACTTTGCCTTTCTCAGCCAAAAATGTTAACCAAAATGCTTCCCTAACGTTGATGAACAGCCAATTCTGGGTAAAATAGGATCTCCCAAGTTTGAATTGTGGTTACTCTGAATCTTAACTTTCACTCTTCTCTCCAACGGTTACTCTCAATGTTTGTTTGCGCTTTTTTTTTAATAAGCTTTTGTGGCATCTGAACTTGTTGCCTTTAAGTGCTGAATTTTTGAAAAGCAGTGGCAGCAGACGTGTGATTAGTTCCTCACAATTTTGTTTAGTTAATACAAAAATGTGTAAGGAACTTATTCTTTGGGTTAATAAAAGTAGTGTTAAAGCTTTATTCCAGGGCAACTGTGGTATAATTTTGAGGCAAAAGGAATCAAGCAGCTTTTTGCCGTGAGAGGGGCCATAATTGTGTAATTAGTAAGTTTACTCTGTTGCACTCAGCCCCAAATATCCCACACCTTGGGCGATCTTCACCACCACCAGCAGCCTACAGCCAGCATCTGAACCCATCTGCAAATTTCACTGCAATCTGCATTGTGTTCTCAAACAATGGGAAGGAAAGAAAAAAGTAGTGCAATTTGTTCACACTTTTTGAAATTTGAATATAAATAAATTCCACAGTATAAAGAAATAGTAGCCATTAAATCTCATGATCAAATTTCATGACATCTGAATTTGATTTAATTTTATATTAATTTATTTGTTAAATTATATGTTTGATTGTAATTTTTCACCTTAACCAAGTAATCCAATCTTAATATGAACTTAATTTCTAAGTATTTATGTGTGAAGTAAAATGTGTCAAAAGTCTCAACTTATAAAAACTCATCCAATCTGATTCAATCCAAGCTTGAAAATCATCTGAAAGTCAAAAACTGAAATAACTTAATTTCTACCAGACCTGACCAATCCTGTTGCCAACTGTTTATTGTAAGCTTCTGAAAATTGGAATGCAACATTTTTTTCCTTGTTGGTAGCGTGCTGTGTATACTGTATGGTAGTACTTACCATTTTTTCTTTTTTCCTTAATAATTACTTAAGCATTTTCCTACCTATACCTTTCCTCGTATTAGGGATTTATACACCGGAAAACAAAGGCATTCCTATTTCAGTAATTTAATGTTGGGACCCACTTTTCTTTCTTGTTCAGATGATCCAAGTGTCTACAGTAAAAATCAACGGCTTATAGTTGCCAAGAGCAGTCTATATAGCTATGCAGAGAGAGAGAGAGAGAGAGAGAGAGAGAGAGAGAGAGAGAGAGAGAGAGAGAGAGAGAGAGAGAGAGAGCAATTAATTTATAAATCTTAGCTAAAGTCAGTAGGTTCCTAAGAGGCATCTCTGCAGCTCCCTTCCCACCTGTTTCAGCTTCATGTCTCTAAAGGCAGTCTATCTGAGATTCTGATACATAAACTGAAATAAAAACAAAAAAAAAAAAGAATCATCATTTTGTCTAGCTCAACTAATTTTTCAGAGTTGTAGATCTCCTTGGAAATGGCTGGACCTACTCACCAAAAAAAACCAACCAAGGAAACTTACCAAAACCAAAAGAAGCGGCCTCAGAAGAATGACAAACCACCCTCTTGGGCAGTTGTCAAAGGCCTTTTCTTTGGTAAACATCTCCAACCACAACAAAAGCAACAGCAACAGCAACGACAGCAACAACATCAGCAGCAACAAAATCAAGAGCAACAGAAACAACAGAAGCAGCAGGAGAAGAAGAAGCAAAAGCAACAACAACCGGCGCAAGTGATGGAAGAAACAGGCAAGAAATGCAAGAAAATGAGGTGTTCAGGTTCATTATGTAGCAACACAAAGGTCATGCACAGGCCTGAAACAGCTTCCCCTGAAGTCCACAAGAAAAGGGCATCGCTTGGTTCATCAAGTAACAATGATGCTTCCAGCAGATCCATGAAAGCTCCTCTGCATGAGCTCAATGGAGTTGTTTCTTCTACTAATTCTTCACTTTCTGTATCTTCAGCATCAGCCTCTTCCGTTGGTGGGTCTTTTAGAGGAATGCCATTTAGGAGATTCTCTGGCTGTTACGAGTGCCGAATGGTTGTTGATCCTGTTCTAGGAATAGCCAGAGATCCTTCCTTGAGGGGTAGCATCTGTTCCTGTCCTGAATGCGGTGAGATCTTCATGAAAGCTGAAGATTTGGAGCTTCATCAAGCTGTTAGGCATGCAGGTAATCCACTCCCTTGACATCTTATCCTTCCCTGACTTAGAACTTAAACCTCTTTATTTTATCGTTTATCTATAATCTTTACAGCTTTTAAACTGATTCCATCTCAGCATTAATTTGTTAGTTCATATCTCTGTTTTTTCTTTTAAGAAAGTTCACTTGTCTATCGGTCCTTTTTCTCTTTCATTTTCTTTGCTTTTTCTTTTCTGGTAAGTTCTAGCTCAATTTTCTTTAACAAATTAATTATGAATATATGTATACCATTATAAATATCATGATTTTTCTGTCTCCTGGCATATAAATAACAGTATCTGAACTGGGTCCTGAGGACACGAGCAAGAACATAGTAGAAATCATATTCCAGTCAAGCTGGTTAAAGAAACAAACACCCATCTGCCAAATCGATCGCATCCTTAAAGTCCACAACACCCCCAAAACCATCTCTAAATTCGAAGAATACCGTGATTCCATCAAATCCAAAGCAACCAAGCTACCCAAGAAGCACCCACGTTGCATTGCAGACGGCAATGAGCTCCTCAGGTTTCACTGCACCACTTTTGCATGTTCACTTGGCCTCAAAGGGTCCTCCAACTTGTGCAACTCAATCCCAAACTGCAATGTATGTAGCATTATAAAAAATGGTTTCAAGGTGGCTCAAGAACTCACTGGAGGTTCTAATGGAAAAGGAATCCTGACAACAGCAACCAGTGGCAAAGCTCATGACAAGGCGGCTGGAGTAGAAGAAGGGAATGACAAGAGGGCAATGCTTGTTTGCAGGGTGATTGCTGGGAGAGTGAAGAAGAGCATGGAGGGTGGCATGGAGGATTACGACTCAGTGGCTGGTGCTGCTGGGGTCTACTCCAATTTGGATGAGTTGTATGTGTTTAATCCTAAGGCTATCTTGCCTTGTTTTGTTGTTATCTATAGAGGATTTTAGTGGGGTTTGAACTATAAACTTTCGGATGGAAGGGAAGATTTTTCTTGTTTCGAATAATCAATTTGTGTAGCAAAATTAAATCGTTGATTTGCTTACTAAATAATTATTACTAACATGTTGAGATTTTTTGGGGCGAATGGTTTTGATCCACGTGAGGGAGGAGATTGCAGTCATCGATTGGAGGGCGTTGTGGGTCAACAATTGAACAATAAATTTTGTGGGGTTTTGATTTTAATTAGCGACATGATTTCCCAACCCAATACATGGCATTAATTGTACATTGGAAAACACTAACGCATTCGATTAATGAATTCTGAACATTGAATATTGTTTACGTCTTTGTTTTCTTTTTCTTCAAAAAGAAAAAAATTGAACCTAGGTGATTAAAAAGAGGGAGAATATGGTAGGCCGAGTAGAAAATAGAACTTTCTCTTGTTGCACTACAATAAAGGGTTAACGTAAAAGTCTTTCTATGTTTCAGTCATTTGTTGACTATCATTCATAAATTTACAAATTTAAGGTGAAGTTTTTGACTGAACATTCATTAAAAAAAATTTGTCAAGTTTCAGGCTTATTTGGAAGCCCAAAGGTTTCCACAAACCATATAGTGTTGAAGTGCCGTTTTGGCATTTTAATATGGTGATCTCATCACGTTTTTAAATGCACATTAAGATGTTCATGGTTTGAGCTTGATGAGACACAGATCCAAATTTGTTATTTATAATCATATATCATGTTAATTTGGTCCTTTTTTCCATCATGCAATACTCGTGCAAGTGAACCATTATCGTATTTGATCATACCCCCCACCAACCAAGAAAAAAAAGATTTATTATCTTCACATGGATGTACTTGTACATGCAAGGCGTTCACAATAGAAATCTCACCAGCATAATGGCATGGCAGGCGCATTTCTCAAAACTGAATTAAAGTGAGATTGGTCTTTGTTGATTTCTTGCAAATGTAGATTCGAAGTTCAAACATCAAGCTTCTAATTTCCCGTTTGGAACCCAAATAAAAATTTGTTTCTAATCAGAAAAAGTTTATCCAACCTTCGAAGAAGCTAACGGATTTCGTTTAATAAATTGTGTACCATCTTACTATCACTCACCAAGTGAGACAATTTTGACAAATATAAATCCGCACCCATAACTTTCTTTCTCCTAAATTGGGTATTACTTTTCTTACATCGATGTCCGGATTCCATTCCATTTGCTAACGCCAAACGAAAACATTGCATATATTTGGACTTTGGAATTTGGAAATGGAATAGTACTTTCTTTTCCATGGTAGTGGAGTACTGGACATGGCCTGGTATCTTGTCCTGATCAGATTTTTTGAATATTGTCAAATATGAAAAACCTGATGACAAAATTTGGTTTTTACTGCATACAAGACATTACTGAAGATGCTTTTCCTGTTTGCACCACTGAAATCTGAATCTTTCTTACACTTTGTCTCAACAAGTTTTCTGTTAAATCGATTATTCAAATCAAGGCTATTCTGAAACAAAGCCAAGTTTAAGAACCAACCCCCAAAACACACATCGCTGTCAGTACAGCATGGGCTAGTTTTTGCTCTCTGGCTATGTTTTCTGGCCTGTTAACTTTCCATTAACGATTGCCCATGTTTTGTTGATTTGTGGGGTTACATCTCCATATATTTCTTGATTTTCTATCTGTTTGACTCTTGTTTTGTACTCATTATCTCATGATTTGAGTTTCCTTGATATTCGATCATAATAACAAAACATAGTATTAAATATGTCAAGCAACGAAGTATGGGTTCAATAATCTCATGAAATACTATATTCACAAAATCTTCCAATTCCATCACAATTACATAGAAAAAAGCAACAATATTTAAAAAAAAAAAAATCTCTTACGCTGGCCATATAAACTGTGGACAGCTTTGATAAATGGGTCCTTTTTCTTCTCCTTCAAGGGATAGAAATAGACTAAATCTCAAGGCTGGTGTGATTCAAAATCCTACTTACATATCTACCCCACAGCTGTAGAAGTACATAGATGTACAACAGAGCAATTATAAATATTGAGAGAAATCAATTAATAACAATAAATAAGACTATATATAATCTAGTATCAAAATATATAAATTTTTTGTTCTTTTAATCCCATGTCTCTTCGTTGTTTTCTGTCCATTATCTTCTAAACTTGATATTCTTTTTTTGGGATGTGAGTTCAGCATGCTTTCATTTTTTTTCTTATTTAACAACATTAATGAGGTCCTGTTTGCTTGTCATACACAAGATTATGTAGGGAATAATTAATAGGAAATTCATCATCTGAATCTCCTAATTACTAATGTTGAGTTATCTGGTAGTAGTATTAATCCTAAGAAAAAATTAAATTTAAACTAGTTTTGGGTTTGGTAAATAAAACTTGTTCATGGCAGATGAGTCAGGGTTTGGGGCCAAAGAATGGGGCACAAGGAATTTACTCTCATGCAAGCTTTATCTAGCTTTTGATTAGAGGTTTGATCAGTTTTACAGTCATTGAGAAGAGTAAAAGGGAAACAATTAACAACACATCACCACATGCTTAAAAGAAAAGCTCAAACCCTATTATTCATCATGCACACTTAACAGAAAGAGAGAGAAGAAATGATTGGAAGGAAAAGAAAGCAATGTTACATGAGAGAAAAAGAAGAGAAGGGTATGTTTATCCGACAATCAACACAGCAATAAGCGTGCCAGAGAGGAAAGCCGGCCTTGCAAAGCAAGAGATCGGGAATTTTGGCACATTGGTTGGCAATTTGGCATTAAACAGTGGGACTGGAATGTGGGGCTCTCAGCCTGACCTTGGTGGAACCCAGCCATGTTGCTGTTGTTTGGCTCATGTCTGTTGGGTCAGAGTCAATGTTTCGACCAGCCTTTTAACTACTAGGGCCATCTTATCTTTTCTCTCAGAGGAGGACGTTTCTCCTTCCGGACATGATTTGGCGCCAATTCTAGAGCAAAGTCAAGCTTTGCATTTTCGTATTAAAATGGAACTATACTGCATTTAACTTATAGAGGTGAAAATTGAGTGGTTTGAGTCAGTTCCAGTCTAAACTTTTTCACGTTGCTGCAAATTCGAATAGTTTAAATTGAGATCATTTTGTATTCGAGGTATTTGAGTTTTAACACTTGAATTAATTGGATTTGGATTGTTAATTTATTTTGATTAAATTGGATTTTAATCTTTGATCATTATCTCAAAAAAAAGTTCCTTTCGTTTTTTTTTTTTTGAAAAAAACCTGAGATTCAAGGTAAACGATGAGTGCAAAAAAAGAAGGTTGGAATGGAGCACATGGAGGGGAGAGAATCACTCCTTTTTGGGTTCTTCACTTCTCAACATAAAAGATAAGACACAGCAGAATTTAAGAAGTTTTCCCTATTTATTGCACACATGAAGAAAAGCAATTTAACATTTCCAACGATTTATTTATGCATTGAATTTTCGTTAAGGTCATTTTTGTTGAAATGCATGCACACAGCTGAGTACATAATCTTTTCATTAAATTCTTTGTTCTCGATAATTTCAACTATAATTGAAAACAAACATCTATTTTACTGAATGCTATAAAGGTAGGTGTACAAAATGGACGTTGCATGTTTTGACAGGATTTAAAGTAAAAACGTAATCGATCAAATTCGAGTTAATATAATATTATGTTTGAGTTTAATTTAAATTTTAAATTCAAAATTCGATTTGAATTCAATCAAATTTTATTTATTTAGTTTGAACTTGATTTGAAATAAAAATTAAACTATTCGAGTTTTTTCAATTAACATATAAAATTAAACTCAATTTTTATATTTAATAAAAATTCGATTATTTGCACTCGAAATATTGTATTAATTAAGATAATAAAAATATATTAAAATATAAAATTTAATTAAATTCATGAACTATTTGAATTGAATATAAAAAAATTTAAATTCTGCTTAATCAATAAATCAAGTTATTTAAATTTGATTCAATAATAATCGAGATAAATTCGAGTACTATTTGAATTGTATTCAAATAATTTATGAATATTAATGTATTATTTATATCAAATTTTCTTGGGAATAAGAAAAAAAAATGAGAAGATTTAGCTTCATTTGTATGGCCAGTAGGAAGAGATTCTCACTGCACTATCTAATTATGACAATGTGATGGCACAATAAGAATTGCTTTCGACCAGCTATACAAATGAAGCATTAATCAATTCCAACAAAGTGACAATTCTGCACTGTTCGGCTCATTCTTTTACCAATTTACATCACATGGAACAACTGTGCAATGGGATATTATTGGCTAATATGTTAGAATCTGGAATCTAACTCGTTGAGATATCATGATGGTACTTCTGCAACTGGATATCATTATTGGCTACAGCTATCCCGGAAAGAATGGTTCTGCTCCCTTCAGCTTTTCGTTAATTTAAAAAAGCAGATATTTGACTCTAGGTTCACCATGTTGCGTGTAAAGGCAGGATCCTTCAGTTGGGAATCTCAATGGAGATCTTTCCAACTTCTGAAACTAGTTCCTTCTCAACTGTCCTCACTAAAAACTAACTCGCATTCCCGACGTCAACATAAGCATTTCAAAGTATCACTACTTTCGGAACGATCTTGTGAAGAGGTTGCAATTAGGCGTTCATCAATGGGAATTGAGAGGAAACGCGTTTAATATTCAAACTACAAACTAACTCTGGTGTGCAAAATGAAATAAAGCTGAACCATCATCAATTTCTTCATGTTTTAAGAAAATATTGATATAGGGATGTTAATTGTTTAATATAACCTTTTCTGATCTTAAGACAGGGAGATAGCATGAACGTGTTTGGCAACAGGAATGGATGCTAAACTTTACCATGTCCTTCTCTGGTAGCCCATGAATCAACGTCTCAAATAATGTTTTCCCATATATTACTCGGTGCTCTTTTAGAATGTTTCTAAACTCACAACTCACAGCCAAACTGCACTTCAGGACTGACAACCGAGTATCGAGTAAAGTGAGGCAGACTTTCAGTGAGATCCGAGAGGAATCAAAACATACGCCAGAGAAAGGGATTACCAGTCACCCAGGTGGCACTGGAAATTCTTAAATGCAAGCTTTTCCAAATTGCTTGGCAGCCTTGGCCGAAACGCAAATTATCTCTGCATCTTGAAAACCACATGGAATGAGTTATATAGAAAATTTTTATTTTAATGAAATCGTCAAAATAGTCTCCATAAAATCACAAAATCTACCTACTAGGCTACTAGCATATTTCCCGTAATTGTTTCATTCACCCTCCTAATCCCAGTCTGACAGAAATAAATGGAAAAATTATCTTTCATTAACTACGTTTAAAGCACTTCATTTTGCAAACAAAACCTTTCACAATTGCATTTCCACCCAAGAAAATACCAGCTAGTCTGGTTGCCATATCAAAAAATGTCATGAGATACAGTACTATTAGAAATTTACAGAAATTTATCCGAAAAGAACAAGCATGAAAGCTGTCCTGCTCCTGCTATAGGTGAAACTATGAAAAAACAAAAGAATAGTGTCAACCCCTGGCACATTTGATCAGGGTTTGTAAATCAACCTCCATCTTGTTACTTACATCCGCACTGCAAGCAAAACAAAATTTGCATCTTTAGGCAAAACCAAAACTAAAGTACCATTGTCAGACTAGGAACATTTGACATGATCAAAATTGGAAAACCTGCATGTTGCCCCCCTAATTAACTGCAATTCCTCTCTGTCTTTGCAGATCAGATAGCACAACAATGGTGTAGTACAACCACGGACAGATGGTAAATGCAGCAACAATGCACTTGGAAGTATATGATTGAGGATTGCACTGTAAAGGACTCCAATGAAGTATCAATTTTACTTATTATCTTGTAGGCTCATGGTGAGAATCAAGATCATTAGCACCATCAGTTAATTTCAGTGTTGAATTATTTGAATGCTGGAGACATGCACATTCTGGCAAGGGATAAGTGTATATGGAAGTTTTTCTGTTGAATTTTTTAACTCTGGGTACCATCATCCCCTTGCGGTCACTTTCTAAGAGCATTACTTCCATCTCATCCTTAAAAGCTTTCCAACTGCAAATCGAGAACATAGATGTTTTATACCTATACATTAGTGACAAAAAGCGAACATGCATATTGAGCTTGACAGATCCATAGAAATAAATATAGAGACCTAAAACTGCTCCATTCTCCTCCTAGGATTTTTTTTTCCATCCGACAACTATTTATACAAAGCTCAAGTCCAAGATGTATATTATTTTTCAAAGTCCAGTATCCTTGAAATTTATCATTGTTGCCCATAATCCTACATGGTTATATAAGGTGTAGTTACTCCAGAAGTTGAGAGTTCAATACCTGATGCCCATGTCCTGCAGCAGAACCACAAGCTTGCGTTTATCAGGCTTAATAGTCTTTGCATGTCCACCAAAAAGGAATCTTCGGTGGCCCATCAAAAAATGCGGAAAATTTCCACCCTGGGTTGTAACAAACACCTCACTAAACAAGCTTACTGTGTAGTCTAAAGCTGCCAGCCTTGAAGAATATCCCTATCAAAGAGAAACAGAGGATGTTAAACAGATTTTGTAAGGGTTTGCTTCTTTAAAGAATAAAATATTTCATCAATATAAGTCAAAGTTGTTCTGAGATCTGTCAATTTGGAGATCATTCACTTGATTTGTTTGTGCAGTCAACGAACCAGGGAGAAACCACAAAAACTAAATAGATTAAAAGGCATAGGCAAACAAATAGAATAAAACACTTTGTTCAATTCTGTTAAATCATTCACTGACAAGAGGACAAACCCAAATAAACCTTAAAGATGCAGCTGGATATTCCAGTTTCATAAAGCTGGATATTAGGATTGTTGTCCAACTTCTCCACATAATTATTGTTGCTAAAGGAATTAGTGATAGCAGGACAAATAGTCAACTGCTTCATTTAGTTAGAGGCAGAGTAAAGAGAAAATAAGCTGAAATTTTCCCTTTTAAGTCCCCAGCTATTAATTAGTTATTCCAATGTCTCTAAGCTAGAAGTATATCAACAATTTCATAGAAGGAAAAATTTTCCACCCTAAAATCTTACTACAGATCATATACATGATGATTTGAGGCTAAGAATAGAAATTAGAAAAAGCTTGAATAACTTGCTCAATTAATCTAACACAAACTGTTTCAGTGCAGTTAATAACAGCAAATAAATGTTAAGGATTCAATCAAGGGAGAAAGCAGGCTAAGACATGTAACATTGGAACTAGTAATTAAAGGTTCTGAGTTTAGCGTTTCAGTTTAGACATTAGCTCTTGGTAACAAAGAAAATCTACTGCTCATGTTGGATCTGAGTATTCGTGATTCAGAATGACAGAACTGTTAATGATAACTTATTGGCAAACTAGTTAACTTACAGGAGAAAAATCCACGCTATGACTCGTTCAAACAAATCTCAAACCTAAAATATTGCAAGGACGGAGGCATAAAATTTACCTCGAAAGGAGCAAGCTCATCAGGTGTAGCAAGAGACTCCTTGGTGTAAAGAAGGGGAAACATCTTTAACAAAGGAGCTAGATGTGTTTCTGCATGGTAAATTTTCCCAGAGGCTAAGTAAATTGAAGTGTTATTGTCAAATCCCATACCACGTAGCATCAGTCCAACCTATGCTGACAAGAAAAACATTGTGCAGAAGGAGTTATTATTTGCCAAAAATGGACAAGCATATACCATACAGTAATTACAAAGAAATACAAAAGATAAGTTTAAAAAAGAATAAGCATTCCATAGCACACTGAAAACAGTTAAATTAGAGAAGAAGTGGTATAAAAATTAAAATGTTATTGAAACAATTGCTTTATTTTAGCTACTATCTGAATATGGTGTGTGTTGCCATATATAGAGAGATTTCTTTTATGGTTTGACGAGCATAATACATTGAATAACTGAGATATTAAAAAATTCCAAATCTAATTATGCCCAGCATTTGAAGAAACTAAGGAGTTCAAAAATTAATACAACAATAAAGGTACTCAAGCATGTTCTCACTCGCAGCATTCATTCTACAAAGATAATGGTCAAGGAAGAAAGATATGTTCAAATGCTGCTGTCAGCTAGTCAATATAGGAGAGAGATAAAGTCTTAAAAACATAAGCTATACCAAAAAATGTAGGATGAATATCCGACATAGCAAAGCTTAAGCCTAATCCAAATTGTTATGGAGGACTTCATCTGTCTTTCAGCTATTTTTTGAGTTATTTTACTTCCATCAGTCACTTGGTTTTCTATACAGCATCAAAGTTCAAACTAGGACTAGCTTTCTTACACCCTTGTAGCACCTCGAACTAAATAATTGATAAAAACACTAACAGAACAAGATGAAAAGCTCAAAATTTTGAGCTGCAACAGATCTAAACTTAGCCTTTGCTTTAAATAGTATGGCTCCAGAGCCCAAAAAAGTTGAATGAAATATTTAAATAAATTATTGTTGGAGAAGCAACAAAAGGATTGGACTTTTATTAGGTACCTCCACAGGGGTTAGAGGACATTTTCCTTCGACTCGATTCAGAGCAGGTACGATGACACGATCTTTTCGTTTAAACTTCCCCTTCCACCCTTTTTCTCTAAAAGAATCCATTTCGAATTTCTCAGTCTCTCCTCCATCATACACACAGCATGAGAAGGCCACCATATCCTAAAATTGAAGAGACAATTAATCATCAAATTAGGTTCTTTTGGGAAATGAATAGCTTTCTTTAGTAAAGGTAAAATAAGGATTAGCACCATACCTGCTCAAACCTCAGGTGGACAGAAACATATTTTCCACCAGTCCTCGAGCTCCTCTCAATCATCCTATTGACTAGTTTATCAGCAAGTGTTAATATAGGTAGAGAGAACTTCAACGCTTTATAATTGGCCATGCATCTTAGCAACTGAATATGAGGTGGGACATTCATTGCCAATCTATTAGCAAAGGGTGCAATGCGGATAACCCTTCATCAAACATATAACCATCACAAATAAATCAGAAGTATACTTGATCAGAATTTTGGTTAAACATCTAGAACTAAAGGTGTTATAGAAATGGGAAACAAAAGGTGTTTGTTTTTTATTCAACAAGCTGCTCCCTTCAGTTCACAGCTTGCTAGTCTACTTTATTAATGACAAAATTAGATATAGAAGATATAATATAGCACATACCCTTGATCCCTCAAAATGGGATGAACAACTCCCAAGTAATATTTTACAGGAGCCCAAGCTTGGACATGGAGATTTGGAATATTGGAAATGTTGTGATCATATCTTTCCATCAATGCTTCAGGTAACTCCTTAACCATGTTTACATAACCTTTAAGGTTGTCTACGAAGTGATCCACATCATATATATCCCCAAACTGACTGCAAAACAGTGGAGTTTTTAAGCGTCAGGTTTCTCAATATCCTTCAGTTAATTTGGAGACAATGAGTCAATGACAGTATACCTGGGATCTCTCCAAACGCTGTTGAGTTCAAACTGAGGAATAACTAGTATTGCATTTAAGAGTCCAGCAACAGCCACTGCATTGCATATCTAAAGAAAAAAAAACTTAACAATGTTTACATGCACATGACAGAACAAATATTTTGACAATCAGATAAGCAATAGGAAACAATAAGCTTTATCTGCACATTGCACTAAGCTGTCAAATGGTGAGAATCAAGCACATCTGTTAAATTTTAAAAAATAAGTAAAAGCACAGTTGAAAACCAAAATGTATGAATCTAATAGCATACCGCAGAACGTTGTTGGTTAAGGCCACCATTAGCATCAACGATCAGGTAACCACTAGAACCAGTGGACTCTGAAATTCAGAACAAATATTGAATTATCATACAAATATGAGCCCATTTCTCTCCTTTTAAGCACTAGCACATCAAAAAACCTAGAGCTCGTCAAAGATTATAAAAGATCTGCAAGGGAGGGGTTGGATAAAGTCTAATGACTGATTTTGTCAATGACTAGAAATAACAAAACTTACATAAACACAGTGGTAAGAAATTTTACACTCCTACCCCATCCTTCACTAGTTATGCCTAACATGTAGGAAAAATCATGCAACAGCCGCTCCTGAACTCCAATATTAACAATTCTCTTTGAAGAAACTAAACAATCATAAAACTCTAACAGAAAAGCCATCTCATTAAGAAATTACCCATTATGCTAGGTCTGTACATGGAGAAATGACTTCTAGCTGTTGAATTTGGACAAGGTTTCTGTACTTTCAGCCTTCTTTTATATTTCCACACAGAGGACAACTGCAGCAAGAAGAAGCATATTATCTCAGCTTATTGCAGAAATATCTCACCTTTGAATCCTACTAAAGGCACTGAAATCCAAGACAACATGATACATTTCTCTTCTACTTCAATGTCTCTTTTGTAGCAGGGCTTTCTATGTAGAGTTAATAGGACAAACAAAGAATTTCAAATTAACTCCATCTAAGTCGCTGTCTTGTTATGCTGAAACCTAGAGTGATCCCTTTCAAAAGTAGATTTTGAAATCTCTGTTGCAACCAACACTAACCAAGTATAACAAAGAATAAATGCAGAAAAGATAAAAGATGTTTGATTTTAGGCATAAGCCATAAAATGATAAGTTTCTTATCAACATCATTTTCCTAGTAAAAAGTTCAAAACTCCACTAATCAATTTATTTTTAAAGTCCTATCTTTTTCCCATCAAACTTCTTTGCTTTCTCATTTCATGATCAATTTCCATTTATTACCAGTTTCTTCTGTCCAAGAAACCGAATCATTTTATGATAAACTTTGTCTTATGTTTGGTGGGCAACCAATTGGAAAAGGACACTCAAATAAAGACTAGCAAAACAACTGATCATATAACTCAAATCTGAACCTTTAAATGCAAAAAATTATGATTAAAAAAATACCCATTTTAACTAAAAGCAAACATTGTCAAAAAAAAAAAAAAAGCTCAGTAATTTCCTTTACTTAAAAAAAAATCCATTCACATAAAAATTAAGATCATTTGAAAAATTTAGCCTTTATAATCTAAAATCTAGCAACCAGCTTTACCATCATCATAAACACCAAATGCTGCAATCAAGAAGCATTCACTAGCAAAGAAAAAAATTCAAAAGCAAAAAATAAGAGAAAGAAGTGGAGGAAGTGAACCTGAAGAGCAGAAGAATTATCAAAGCGAATATCATCCCAAAGCCTTTGAAAATTATCATGGCTACGATAAACTGATCCAGGAACAGAAGCGTAACCCAAAAGCCCAGAAAATGGACCGACACACATGAACAAGCCGGAAACGTACAAAAGTGGAAGAACTAACAAGTACCGGAGATTCCGCCGTAAGTTCAGGCCAGAACCAAGGTTTTCACGGCGGACGAAGGAATGGCTCTTCGAACGAAGCCGGCGGCGGCACTGAGAGAGAGTCGGAGTAAGACGTGGTTGCGGCGGCGACAAAGGTGGGCTTGGAGAGTTGCTGTTGGTTCCGCTACTACTCTCGCTGCTGTAGCCATTGCTGCCACTGTTGTTGTTGTTGTTGTTCTTGGGTTTCATGGAAGTAACAATGTGAGCTGCCATGCAAAGAGAAACTCAGAGAGAAGAAAAAAGATGATTCTTTTTATTTTCTGTTTGGTTAATTGGTTTTTTGTGGAGATTTTATCTTTGTCTGAAACTGGGAAGTGTCTGGACTGATGTCAGGAGTTTTTCTTTATTTTTTAATTTATTTTTTAGTATTATAAGAGTATAATTTTTTGTTTTGTTGTTTTCCACTGAGATTGCAGAGAGAAGATTGGCTTGGCTTTTAGTTGGTGTGGCTCCAACTGAGCTGATTTGATACCATAACAATATCTTTACCGTTATTTAGATACGAAAATTTTAAACATATGATATAATAAAAAATATAAAATTAATATAATTTTAAATTTTAATAAAAATTATAAATAAATTCAAGAAAATTTAAAAATATATATATTTTATATTTTGATATTAATACAAAATATAACATGTATTTTATAAAAAATATAATATAAATATATAAATAATTAATTTTTTCACTATACAAATACCAATAACTTGGACCTTACAAAATACAACTTTTAAGATATTTTAAATTATAACTTTTTTCCACAGAGCGAAACCGCTTTTTAGGTTTTGCAACGTACAAAATAATTTTTTGTATCAATTTATTTAAAGCAATAAGAAAATTAGTTAAGTACATCATAGGAATCTTGTAGATTTAAATTTCCACAAAAATTGGTGTCCCAATAAATATAAAAAAGAAAGCAATGTAGGTCTAATTGAAAGAATTGTTTACATCATGTAATATATAATAAAATTTTTTTTTTTAAATTTAATGATTAAAAGACGAATTAAAAATTATGTAGACATGAATTCGACCTCATCATCTCTCCTCCCTCCTTGTAAGAACACTAATCCTCATTTGCAACAAAAGAAAAAAAAGTTTAGAAGTTGTCAATTTTTGGCACCGCCAATAATGAATCCCATTTTAGTTGTTTAATGAATTTTTAAAATTTTAGTTGGATAAAATGCACTTTTTTCAACAAAATTAAATTTAAATCTTCGTTATATTTGATAGATGTTTTATTTTTCATTAATATCATGATTTTTAAATTATAATAAAATATTTAATATAATACATAAAAATTTAAAAATTTTAATGTAATATTTGAATTATAAATATATTAATTAATATAATACTTACTTTTAATTAAATTAATTTCAAATAATTAGGAGTAAATAACATATCACATTAATTAATAAATTTATATCTCAAGTATCACATTAAAAATTTTTAAAATTTAAATATTATATTAAATATTATATTTTAATTTTAAAATTATTTATGATATTAATTTTTTATTTTTTATATTATTTTCTTCTAATCATTTTTGTTAAAAAAATAAAACATACAAAAATACAATCAAATAGAATCTAAATAACAAAATTTCCATACTTTTTTTTATTATTTTGAAAAAAACACTCAAGTACGTTTAGATAAAAGATTTCAATAAAATATTTCATTTGTAAGAAGACTTTTGAAATTCTAAAATAAAATTATCCTCTTCGATAAAATAAAAATTGAAATTATCAAAACTTTTGAAATTTGAATGAAAAATTTTAAGAGGCTTATATTCTATTTTTAAATTTTATCTAAAGAGAATAATTTTGTAAAGTTTCTTGATTTTATAGTAAGAAGTCAACATTTATTATGTTTCTTTTATTTAGCTAAAATTTGTTTTTTTTTTTCAATTTTAACTATAAAACTCATTATAAAATTTATATTTTTCATATTATTAATAATATTTACATATTTTTACAAATATAATGACACTTAATTGTATATATATTTTTAATATTTACTTTTTATCTCTAATATCATTGTTTTTTATTATAATTATTTTTTATTTAATCAAATTTCAATATTTAAAATTTTAAAAAATAATTATTCAAATAATACAATTATAAATTATACCATTTTGAATTGACACATATTAAAATATTAACATTTTAAAATTATTAATCCCAATCCACTATGCTGTCAAAGTAAGAGAGAGAGAGAGAGAGAGAGAGAGAGAGAGAGAGAGAGAGAGAGGGTGAGCGAGGCAGAAACGGCTACAGCCGTCAGCGAGTGCGTTGCCTCGGGCTCCGTTGATCCGCTACAACGGGTAATACCGTTGTGATTAGTGCATAATTGTGTATTTTGGACGGTTGTACCCTTCCACCCATTGCGGGCGGACCATCTCCTTTTACGGTGCCCCTTTATGCACCTTTAGGGACCTCACCTTCCATGGCCATGGCTGCTGCCTGCTGGCTCCACTCACTTTCACATTTCACATGGAACTTTGTCGTATCTCCATTCGTATCTTTACTGCTTTCTATTTTGTAGTGGGATCCGCCCATCCTATCAGAATGAGATCCTTCCATACTGCGATTTGCATTGTGGTTCTATGTCATCAATTTTTATTAAAAAAAAAAAAGAGAAATTCAGAGTTGGGTTATTGGATAAGCTGATTTAATTAATAATGATTTTAGTCTTACGACGAAGATTTTTTATATGTAAAGTTATAAAAAGTTGAATTTTAAATGTCAAAATTAGGAATTTAACATTCTAATGATAGATCTTATAATTATTTACAAAGTTCAATTTTTCATTGATGAAGAAATTTAATTTTTTATGTTTGAAACTATTAAAATTAAAATTTTAATATTTTATCAATTAATTATAAGATTGTCAATAAAAATTTTATTTTTTAAATTACAAAAAATTCAATTTTTACTTGTTAAATGTCCATATATATGATATATTTGGTTCACACTCCTTCGTAGCATTGCCCCAAAACTTAAATTAAGAAATTTTTATTATATAAATATTCTAATTTTGTGCATATTCATATCACAAAAATATATTTTTTTAGATATTTCTTATCTTTCAACATGAATCAGAATTTTAGAATTGAAATTAAAAAATAAAGCTTTTTTCTTTTTTTAATATGTCTTCATCTAAGGTTTTGTTGTTCATCAAGCTATTTAATTTTTTTAAAAACTTTTTTCTACAATAAAATTTATGTAAAAATGCTTTAATTATTTACTCAATTTTTATATGAAAAAAGTGTTTAAAACTTAAACATAAATTAAATAATTTATTATTTTCGTGTCAACTTAAATTATAAGATAATTAATTATCCAACTTAACATTGTATACAATATGATAAATTTTTGCATATTTATAGGGTTAAATTTTCCTTTTTGGATTTAAGAAGTACAGAAGCAAAAAATGAGGAAAATTAAGTAATTTTGCATTTGAATAGCACCGTGGAAATTATGGTCAACCACGGTCACTCTCACTATCTCTGTGGGACTGGAGCCCTCGTATTTAATGAGGAAAAAATTTCCACATTTGCAGTGGAAAGGGGCAAAATAGTCAAGTGGAAAAGGGCAAAGGACTTGCCACGCGGAGGAATCTGTAATAATCTGAAGCAAAGAGAAAAAAAAAAAAAAAAAAGACACGGAAAGGTCCAAAAGGAGGAGCTCAAAACGCTCCGAGACATTCGCTCCATGATTCTATCAGCTTTCTCGGAAACGTGTGATCGGTGGCTGGGCTGAAAGAATTTTCCATATTTACCTATTTACCCCGCTGTTTGAGAATGTTTGTTGACTCCGTGACGCTATTTCCGTAAGGTCAGAGTAAAAATTCCTAAGGTTAAAAATAAAAATAGCTTTTATACTATAATTTTTTATCATATTGATATTTTAAAAAATAAAATTATTAATTTATTATTCGAGCTTTTATTTCATCGTTTATTTTGATATCTGAAATTAATATCATTTGTTAATGTATTAATATGATATAAATATTTAATAAAATATTAATATATGTTAAAAAATTCAATTAATGTTGTATCATCAATTGTTATATCAATATTTTAATAAAAATAAAAAATTTCTTAAAATTTAGAAATATTCACAAAAATTTAAAAATTTTGAAAATAAAAAAAATCTAAAATTTTTGAAAATTTTTGAAAATTAAAAAAATCTATTTTTTAAAATTAAAATTTTATTAAAAATTCTTAAAATTTTCAAAGCTTTTGAAACTTAAAATTTTTAAAAAATCTGAAATATTTTTAAAATATTAAAAAATTTTCATAAAAATAAACAACTTAAAATTTAATAAAAATCTAAAAAAATAAAAAAATATATGAAAAATTCATAAAATATATAGAATTTTAAAATTGTAAGATCCAAAAAAAAGAAAATTTTCACAATTAATTTTTTTTTACATTTTTATATTTTTTAAAAAATTTAATTTTTTTTATTTTAAATTTTTTAAGTTTTAGTGAATCTTTTTTTTAATTTAAAAAAATGTATTTTTATTAAAATTCTCATTTATATTAAATTTTCAAAATCTTTTTGAATTTTTTATTTTATTAAAATTTTGAAATTGTTTGAATTTTTTTAAGTTTTCATAATTTTAAAAAATTTTAAAAATGTTTTAGTTTTTAAAACTTTTTTTAAAGAAATATATATTTTTTAATTTTTGTGAATTTTTTAAAATGTTTAAAATTTTCTTTCAATGCTAATGTGACAATCAATGATATGGTATTGATTGATATTTTGATACATATCAATATTTTATTAAGTATTTATATTATATCAATAAATTGATTAACGGTATAAATTTAATATAACTAGACGTTGGAATAAGAGTTAAGAGTATCAAATTGAAAATTTTATTTTTTTTAAGAACTAAATAGACATAAAATATATGTTACATGGATCATTTTTATATTAACTCAACTTCTTTTAACTTCATATATATATATATTTATAAAAAATGAACTTATATATCATAACCTGCCTTATTATCTTATTAGTATTTTTAATAAAAAAAAAATCTGAACATAAAAATAAGAGAAAAAGTTATAAGTTTTGAGATATGAGTAGCAAAATCGTTAAGTACACTCCAGTTTTAATCCTCGTTACCAAAAGAAGAAAGAGTTTACGAAATAAAATTTGTCAATCCAATTTTTTATTTAATTATTTAGATATTGGATTAAAATGATAAACAATGAATGTTCATGGTATCAATTTCAATATTATTATGATAATTTAATGATATTATTATTACAGCATTCTTTTCACTCATGGTTTGCAATTACCTTATTTTATTAATGATTATTAATTTTGAAGAATTAAAAATAATTTTTTTTAATTTATTAGATAGTGGATGAAAATGGTGTGATTCAAACTCTTACCTTGTATGTTTTTCTAAGCTTTCTTAGCCACTAGGTTAAAAAGACGAAAATAAATAATTGTTTTTGTTATTATTAAAAATTAAATATTATTTTATTTGAAAATATCAAAATAATCATATTAGAGTAATTATACAAATTGATAATTTTAATGTTATTTAAAAGTAAAAAATTTGTAAAATATCAATAATAATTTATTTACTTAATAAAAAATTATAACTACATCATTAAATTGAAAATATATTTATTGATGGATAAATTAACTTTTATGATATAAATTACATAAAAAGAATTTTTAAAATTAAATCCATTAAAATTATATTAAATGTGTAAAATTAATAAAAAAAAGTTAAAAGAAAACATGAAACGTTATGTTTAAATTTTGTACAACAAATATTATTTTGAAAAAATAAAAATTGATAATATAAAATAATTATAATTATGATAGAAAATAAAATTTTAATCATATATTAAAAAATAATATTAATTATAATTAGTTTTACATATCTTTTTACTTCAATAATAGAAATTTAATTATACAACAATTTTTGCGTTATTTAAAAAAAATTCATCCTCATATATCATATTTTTAAAAAAATAAAATATGAAACCTTTATTTATTTTTATAAATAGGATTTATATTTTCTCAAAATTGTCCTATTATATAGTTAGGTAAGCATTCATCTCATGATTTAAAATTGCAAGAAACTAAATCTAGGTGGAGATTTTTTTAACAAAAAGTCTATACGAGATCCATTAAATTTGAAGTGCTTGGACTGTGGCTTGATGTTCCAAATTTCAAACTCCACCCCCGAGCCGTAAAATGAATAAAATGGGTGGTTAGCTGGGGGACTGCATGGGTCTACTTTCTTTAAGTAGGCCAATAGATTCAGCGGCAACACTGTTATGCAGACATAAGCTTGTAACCAAATCAGTGATTGATTAGTCTTCATGACTTTTGATTTTCTTTTTGGTACTACATTTTCTGAAAGTGACTTAACAAGGAAATTCAAATACTACTAAATTTAATTAAAAGAATGACACGTGTCAAATCTAATAAATTTAATTTTGAAATACTAATATTTTTCCTTTAATAATTTGAAATTATAAAAATTTAAATTCAATTATTTTAATATGAAATACATATAATACACTTTGATTAAATTAAAATTTTAAGTTAATTGATTAATATAATTTTTTTAAAAATAATATTTAATTAAATTTAAAATTTAAATTTCAAAATTGCAACCACTATAATATTTTTTATTGACAGTTTGTTTTATATAAGAAAACTAATTGGACGTCTAAAAAGCCATTTTAGACGTAAATTAAAACTTAAATGCCTTTGTCCGTACGTACGGCACATAATTGTGGTGTCCATGGTGGACCAGTACCTCATTTATATAAATCGGTGACTTGTCTTTGGGTCCATTTGGAAAAAGAGATAGGTACTATTGATTTAAATTTATCTTTTTTAAAAAAAAGATTTTGAGTATAAATTTTATAAGTGATAATTTATTAAAATTATTTTGAATGCATAATTTATAATTATTTATTTTAAATTATTAAATATAATATATTTATTTTAATTAAAAAAATTAAAAAATTAATTTATTTTTGAATTTTTTTCTTATAAAAAAAATCAGTAACTGTGCTGTTTCTAGATACGGGGTTCGAGCGACCATGCGGTTAAGAAATCAGATTGAAAAAGGCAAAATAGTCCATCGGCGTTTAATTTAGAGTTTTATGGCAACTTTGGAGTCTGGGGTTAAAGCCACATATGAAATTGACAAAGGCGCACCTTGGCAGATGAAAGCAGCAGACCATTGGTGGTGATGGTACACCGTTTTATTGGTCAAAGACAACAGCTATTCCTTTTAGACATTGTTCTTCATACTCACTTATTTGGGGTAGTCTGCATGCAGTGGCCTGCCTGAAAGACAGTTCCAATTACAATGTGTTGAAATTATCCTGGAAATATTAAAAATCATCCCATTAAATTTAATGCATATTTTTTGTTAACCATGCATTTAATATTAAAATCCATTTCCAATTTCCAAGACCGATTGAACAAAATCAGAGTTCTCAACGGTTCATCCTTGGGGCCGGTTTCAAAAAATTGGTTATGGACGGTATGAATAACAAACTTCGACTTTTTTTTTTTTTTTTTTTTTTCTGCAGTAAGTGGTTTGCGAGCGATAAAAAACAGAAGCAGCACGACAAAAGGCGTACTAACAAGTAAACGCACCATAAGTCCGTACATAACATTAATGGTCTATAAATTATAGAGCTCTTATATCATTTCTTTAAAAAAAATGTTATCAGCTCTGTTCTACACACACTTGAGTAAAAGTACAAACATACTAAGAAAATAGATCCAACATAACCAAACAAGGTCATAACTTGTCTTCTCACTCTGATAACAACGAACTTTTCACCATTGAAAAGGCTCCCACCCTGTCGCGGGGAATCAAGCGAAGTTCAGAACCATGTTTGAGGAAGACATTTCCTGCAAAAGCAAATCAAGTATAGGTAAACATAAATCATAAACAACGTGCAAAATGTTTTCATTGTTCTAACTGCATAATTGCATTTTTCGCCTAAGGAGCTAGTACATGAACAAGGTTGGATCACAACTAAGATGAGATTCTCTTTATCTAAGTTTTAAGGAACCTTTTTGTGAGTTCATGAAGTCAACATAAAGCACCACAAAAGTACAATTACCATTCCTTTCCTTTTTGAACAATTTACTGGCTTAACTACAAACTGACTAGTTATTGCTATGAAGGCTGCCTGCATGCAATTAAAGAATAGGAGAAGAATGGACTCGTTAAAATAACAGAGGATGGACATCAGATATAGTTTTCTGAGCCAAATGGTAGCAATGGTACACTATGGTAAAATCAACTACATTATAGGTTTTGGTGCTATTGAAGACATGAAGAGGACAGATAGTAAAAGCAAGGACATGACTGAAATTCACATCGTGAAGCTTTTCTGAAATTCTGGATAATAGCAAATAACTTGCAGTCTTGCAGAGGAGCGCCAGTCTGCCTAGGTTATATATAAAATATTCATAATTCTCTTTGGCAGATTCTAAAAACTGCTATTACACAGGATTCTCCAAAAATAAAGGTGCAGATGCTTAGTTCAAATCCAGAATGGATCTAATTTCGAGTGCAAAATTTAAAGAAAAGGTAAATTTCCATGAGACTCAATAAAGAAGAGCAAATAAAATGATGCTCTAAAACAATGAAACTAGTTAACAAAGAGTAAGTGTCAGCACACCTGCACTTTGCTGAGGATTGATTCCCACACCATCTGTATTCAGAAAGAACATATAATCAATAAAAAATAAATAGAAACAAAAAATAGTATGAAAATGTTGCTCATTAACGATTAACCAATGCATAGTTTAGACTTCACAAAAATTGAATTCATTTTTAATGTTTTTTAGGTAATTATCAACTAGCCTCCTACATGCTCAAATACATAATTTATGAAAATAATAGTTAAAAGTAAAAGAAAAAAAAGAGAAAAATTATAAGAAGATATTTAGAGATGCACCTTTGTTTCTAGCTTGTTTTAAAGTAAAAAGAGAAGATGTGAGTTGAATATGAATACCAAATTCAAATATGAACTAAAAGACTAATACATAGAAATAAGATGTAACTTCTTATTGTCTTGTTTAGTTTTTTTATTTTTGTAAGTTCAAAACTGAGTTGGTCTCTCCAAACTTAGTGAAATCCAATTCTGCCTTCTCTCTTTACATATTATGTATTCTATATAATTGATTTCAGATCCATTTTGATGAGCTCAAAAAGTCAATAGATCCTTATGGGAACCAGGTCTCTTAATTATTGAGTACTGCCCCTTAGTTGGAATTTCATAAGGAGAAGGATAATTTATAGACTAACAGGATCCAACAAAGTTCAAACAAAATAGAAGGCTCCATTTCAAACATGGAGAACTTTATTCCGAAGTTTTTAATGGTTTTCTGCAGGCCATACAGTATCTTTCCATTATCTTTGCCAGCTAGTTTCTTTTACCGATCTGATAGAACAGCCATACGCAAACAATCTCAGACTACATCACAAGGATGGAAAGAAGCCCCTGTACAACTCTCTCACGTTATTACAAATCAATAAGACCTAGCACCCTGTAATTTGTCTATCTAGGTTCACCTAGTAAGAAAAAAGATTGCTTATTGAAAAGTGTTGCGTAACCTTTACCCTAGAACATGAATTTCTCATGCAATTAACACAATGTTTCCAATCACTAACAAGCGAGTACTAACAAATGCCGAGTTGGGAAACAAGGACATACAGCAAAGAACAAAAAAAATGGCCCAAACGAGGCACACAAAGACTTGAAACAACTTCATAGAAAATTGATAAACAAATTGACATTGACAAATTTTCAAGACAAAATGAGTCCAATTCTATCAAATTATAAAACTCAATCAACCATTTTGATCACGTAATTTTTCATCATATAATGACCTTAAAATAGTTCTTACTACAATGAGTTCTTCCTAATCCACTTCATTAATTATGAAATTCTTTTTTTTCTTTAAAAAGGAGGCAAATTTGCCAATCTGAGCCAGTTCTAAATTCCCAAATTCTTATTCAAAAAATACAGTATATAATTAATAAATTAACAGAAAATCACATACAAAAAATTTGGATTTTAATTAACAATCAAATAAAAATTTAAAAGGACAAAGTAGGACGAAAGAAACAATTTACCGTTGGTGATGATAGCGCTGGTTTGAGGAGGGACTTTGAATTCCTCGGCTGCGAATTTCAAGACAGCCGTAAATGGGGCTGCTTCAGGAACGCTAAACCTGCATTTTGCATAATTATATAAAAATAAATCGAGATTAATAACCGAAATTTGAGAAAATTAATCAAGCACTCGATCAAAAACGAAAAAATAGTATTAAAAAAAAAAAACCTCACACTTTGAAAGGGAGCTTTGGATCGGAGGTAAGAGTGACTTTGAAAGACACTTTTCCACCACTCGCCATTTCTCCCTCTTTTTTCAGATTTCCGAAATTTTTTCGAGGATAGAGAGAGATACGATTAGATAGATATATATTGTATACACATATTTTCTTTTGATGGAAAATATAATTAAAAAAAAAAGAAAAATGGACTTGAATTGGTTGGGTTAGTGAGCTTGAGCCTTTCAATGAATGATCTACTTTTATCAAATTAGAAAGGTCATTTGGAGTTTGGACCATTGCCTTGGAAAGGTACATGAGCCCGATGGAATCAGGCCAAGTTCTGTTGGTATTTCCAAATATCAAGCTCCGATTGGGCCCTTTCAATCTCATCCATTAAAGCTTTATTGGTTTCAAAATATATAAAAAAAAAACACATATATTAATATTTTAATATATTTAAATATATTTTAAATTTAAAATTAAATAAAAATATTTTATTCAAATCAAGGTTGGATTTCAAACTCCTATTCAGAATCAATAGTTGTTAGACTAAGCTCGAGGATCTATGGAATGTGTCACTCTTGAATTGGTTTATTTGTGAATTTTTGATCGATTTTTGAAATGAAAAAAATAAATCTATTGTCAAATTGTGTATCTCAAAAATCAATTCAAAGACATTAGGCCAAAAAATTTTTTTTTAAAGTTCAATTGGACGGTAGATGGAAATAAATTTTCACCATGCCATATCATTTTGAGATTAAATATTTTTTATCGGCTATCCAAAGCATTTGTCACGTGACATTTAACATTGAAATTTTAGCCAATTGTCGAGCTCAATGTAAATTTGTTTTTTGGTCAGGCTCACGGAAGCCCATAAATTTGGCTTTGATTCCTGACTTTTAACCAATAACATTCACAAAAAGACTGAAAATGGAAAAGAAAATATTACGATTTAATTAGCCAGAAATAAAAATTGCAGTCATTTCATTTTTGTTTGTCAAGTAAAAGTAAATTAAAGAATGGATTATATTTACAAATTACAACCACTTTTAAACATTTAAGTGCCGAAAGATGAGGATACAATCATTGAATCCTTTGCCATGTTAGGAAAAAAAAAGGATCATTGTCCTATTTCCCAAAACAAAGATTGGTTTTTCACTTTTCCTTATAAAATGATCCACAGGTTAGGCATTAATAGCAGTGCAAGCATAGCAGGCCACCATCTTCCTATCAATGGGTTTAAGCCAATTGCTTTGTTTGTGCAGACAAGCTTGCGATCATGGTATGTACATACTGGTTGATTCCTGAAATCAACACTCGGAGTATGTCAGAAGAATACGTAAAAATGAGAGCTTAAAATACATATGAAAATAGCTTTGAAAAAGGATTGTTGAATGGGATTTGCATTTCCTTGACCAGGGTTACAATGAGATGGTAAAATATCGGCAGGGAAGTTTTGAGTACTTGCTAAATAATCAATGATTCACAGTGACAGAGTGTCGAATTATAATATATAAATAACTGATAGATTTATTAATTAATTTTGCAAAAAGAAAGAGTGTTCAGGGATTCAATATTTGGATATCCATGGTCACCCTACTTCAACCTATAATAGATCCGCCTCTGATGATTCAGTTCTAAAGATGAAATGAACAAAACTGAATTTAATCTAGTTTTTAATTATGTATTTAATCCAAGTCATAGAACCTGAAAGAGAAGATAAAATATACCAACCTGGTTGAGCAGAAGGTGACAACATAATCTGTTCCAACACAATTGAAAAGACTGGTAGGATCATCATATGCGTAAGTATATGCAGCAGGACATGCTGACTTGAACTTCTTGGAATAATATGTAGGTTGACAAACCACAGAGTTCGCATATGTCCCTTTGCAGCAGTATTCATCGGTGTTGAATACATCGCAGGCGCTTCTGCATGCTACAACCTTTCCACTGGCCTTAACAGCCAGTTCTGAAGGGCAGGTTTCCCTCAGGTCTGAATCACATCCGGCAGTGGAGCAGTTTCCTCTACCATTGATTGGTGTAACAGCCATCGGCAAATTAAATCCATCAACAAGGCTAACATCGTAAAAATCAATAGCAGCAAGGGTAAATTCAGCAAGTGATGCTGGGGTTTTGCCTGAGGCTTTACACTTAAGGGTGTTGCCACAGTCCGCTGTCTGGCATGAACCACTTCCTTTTTTGTCAAACTTGCAACCGGTTCGACCCCATATGCGGCCACTCCACCCTACTGGGGCTTGAAAGACAACAGATTGGTGTGATTTTAATTCAAAACCTCCACCATTAAAGTTGTCACCAGGGATAATCGCAGGCCAGATAGTTTCCCGGCAATTATTTATTATGGTGAAGGTTCTTGCACATTCATGCAGTTTTGGCCCTGCCAAGTCCAAGAAAAAATATGGTACTATGCTATGGAAAAAGTAGAAGTGAATATATATAATCTTTATCTAAGATAAAACTATGTTACTAGACATTGTTACATTAATATAATTAAAAGAATGGAAGAGAATTTATGATTACCTGATGAAAGCATTAACAGTATCAATAGAATAAGAGGTGAAAGCAAATCCATCTGTTTCTTTTCTCTCTATGTAGGAGATTGATTGCGCTGAAAATTTTGCAGCAGACATTTAAAGCGAAAGGGGGTGAAGAATACGTGTAGAAGGAGGGTAGGAAGAGTTAAAATTCAAAGGAATTAACCATCCCTAGGAAGTCTTTCCCCAAAGGCTACATGATTCTTTTCCCTATTCCTTTCCCGCAAGTTTATTCAGGTTCCAATTCTCTTTTATGGATTTCACTTTCAATGCCACCATGGATAGTCAGAATCTGCCACATCAAAATTTTGAAATCCTTTTTTTTTTTTTTTTTTCCTTTTGGGTTTAGGATTTTCTGACAATATTCTAGTTCCAACCACCATCAACGTATAATTATGTGATACTCTCTTTTTTTCTTGAAATTTCATATTTGGGTAGATGCGGTTTACCCTTTTTATATACAAATTTAGATGATAAATGTTATTAGCAAGGTTTTGTAATTTGCAAATGATACATTCATTTCTATATTAATTTGTTTTTTGAGGAGATTCATAAATTTGTAGTTCTTTCATTATAAATTTTAGCAACTATTAATCTACTATGATATATTGGTATGAAATGAAACACAAATATTTAAATTTTAAATTTAATTTAAGTAATTCATACAATTATTTTATGAAATAGTATTCAATAAGTTATACGTGCAACTTTTTTTTTATCCTCAAGCTTCATTCTCTCTTATAAAAAACAAAAAAATTTTTTTTTCCTACATCATGGAGCCTTGACTGTTTCTTTACAAGAGGGTTTAGGAAATCTTCTAGCGAAGGAGGCAAAGCTAAACTGATGGGAAAAAAGAAGGTTGCCAAAGCTGAAAAAGAGCAACTTTAATTCATAGCTTCTCATCTGGTATAAAATTTTGTATACCATTTGGCAATGGGTCAGTGTCGACGAAAGGTTTCATGTTAAGGATGCTCTGTTTCTAATTACCATAGATATGGTGGTCGGCTGTTGCGATCACATTGTCTTTGCTTTTCTTCATCCAATTAGCTAATCTGATATTCACTTCGAGGAGTTCCATAATACGCAATTTAGTGGGGAAAAGATTGCATTTTTATTCATTTTCTGTATTTCAATTGTATTACTTTTAGATACCTGAGTTCAAATAATTAAAAAACTTAAACATTTTTAGTTCTAATAAATTTTTAGTTTAGTGGTACTAAAATCACTTTTAAAGATTTTGAGTTTGAATAATAATGATAGCTCAAAAAATTAAAAATTTTTTTTTTGAATTAAATGGTTAAAAATTAAAAAAAAAACATGTAAAGTGAAAGTTACAATCTCCATCTTTATTACTATTCCTATCCAAATGTACCAAAAAAATTTACAATATTGCTATTTATGGGTCATTAATAAAGTTTTTAGAGCTGCTAATGTCAAAACTTTTTTCTTGTTCTGACATTTAAAAACCCATTGAGATGCAAATGTTTAAGATGCACCAGTATTGTTTTCATCATAAATGAAAATTGAAATAGTAAAAAGGGCTTAGCTTTAAAGTTGAAACCATTGAATCATGAATGAAATAATGGCCAATAAAGCCTTCTTTTTTTTTTTTTTGAAATGTCATTTTCTTCTCCCTTGCAGAAAGTCAAAGCCCAACTGAGGCCTGATTAGCACAGAATCCAAATGTGATTTTGGATCAACCTAGGCAGTGGAGGCCTGTAAAGAAAAACTTATTCAGAAATAAGATAAATAAAAAAGTTGAATGTAAAAAAAAAATTGAATCTATTTGTTTGATTAAATGATAATATTTAATAAGTTTAGAATTTAAATTTCAATTTTTAAAATCTCTTTTTTTATCCTTAGACAACGACTTCCATTATTAAAAAAAAAAGCTATACAAGCCATTTATAGTCTGAACATTTCTTTTTCTTTCTTAGAACTAAACATTTTCTTTTTTATTAGTGAAAAGCTGGAGTGCTGGTTCTCATGGGTCCATTATGGACCAAATGAAGATGATACCAATCTGCTTTGGAGTTTGGAGATATCATCAGGCTATTGAAACTTTACAGTAGTCCGCTTGAACTTTTTGGAGAAAAGAAAAGCTGGAAGAGAACATGGAGCCCATGGCTGTTATCCCAATCCTTGGATGGGCCAAGCTAGATTCTAATCTGAGCCCATCCAAGTTAGATGGGCCATGACCATGGGGGATGAGATGATAAACCTGCTAACCTACGATTGGTCCTAAGGCAAAAAAAAAAAAAAAGGGAAAATTTTGTTGATGGGGTGTCAATTTAAATATCTAGTTGCATGCACTTAGCATCATAAGTGATGGAGCCTAGGGTTTAGGTTTCACAGTAGATGTAACATGGGTTTGGAAAACGATCATCATCACATCATAATTTAAAGTGAAATAATTGAAATATCGGAGACTGTGGAAGGCTTTTTAATTTATTTTATCATTTTAATTAATGTCAAAGGAAAAAAAAAAAAAAAAGAATGTCTCTGTAATGCATCTTTTAAGTACGCGGTACAATGCATTCATTGAAAATATTTAGAAGCTTTTTGAACCCAAAGGTAATCTTTTGCCAAAATGCTTTATGAACTTGATATGACAACACATGGGTACTGTTCTTTTTTTTTTTTACCACTCAGTTCAATAGAGTGAAGTTCTGTACACAATTTTTTTTTTCAAAAAATTATAGTTTAAAAATAAAAAATAATTATAAGTATTGAAATTTGATATCAAATTAAATTTGATGATATTTATTATTTAAATGATTACATAAATTTATTAAATTAAAATTTTGAATTATAAATGAAGACTTATAATTATCACTACAAAAAAATAAAAGATTAGTAGTAATTTTATGGTCACGTTTCACTTAAAAACGTAGTTAACTTTTATGTTTTATGAAACTTAAGTTGTTTTTTTATCAAAATATCACTAAATATTTAAATAGCGGTATTTGTACTTATAAACGCTATTAAAGATAAAAATTAATGGCGTTTATCGACTAAAATACCTTGAATAATAATTTTTACAAAATTAAAGTGATTATTGAAAGCTTTTTTTGTAAAAAATATCTTGAATAATCCCCTCATAAAAAATAAATAGGAGATTATTGAAGGTATTTTTGGTAGACAACACTTTGAATAATCTCCTTACAAAAAATAAAGTTGATTATTGAAGGGAGAGATCGAATCTACATTCTTATGATTAACAATCGTATGCTCTAACCGACAAGGCTATTCCATTTTTGACAAATTTATTGACAAGAAGATTTATTAAAGGCATTTTTGACAAAAAATGCATTTAATAATCTTTTACAAATTTTTAAGAGAATTATTAAAAGTGTTTTTGACAGAAAACGCCTTCAATAATCGCCTCTATTTTTTATAAGCAGATTATTCAAGGTATTTTTTGCCTGAAACACCTTCAATAATCTCTCATAAAAAATTAGAAGAGATTATTGAAGGTATTTTTTTGCCTAAAACGCCTTCAATAATCCTTTATAAAAAATGAAAGAGATTTTTAAAGGCGTTTTTGACAGAAAATACATTCAATAATCTTCTGTAAAAAATTGAAAGAGATTATTGAATGTATTTTTTGCCTGAAATACCTTCAATAATCCCTTATAAAAAAGTATTTGGGACTATTGAATGCGTTTTTTGACAGAAAACGTCTTCAATAATCCCCTCATAAAAAATGGAGAGGATTATTGAAGGTTTTTTTTTTTAGAAATATCTTGAATAATCCTAAAAAAAAATTGAAGGGGATTATTGGAGGCATTTTTAGTCAAAAACACCTTCAATAATCATATTTTCCCGTTGCTAAATTTTTCTTAAATTTTAAACCCATAAAACCCCCTTTTTGCTTTTCTTTCCCCTAGTCATTTTTTTTTATTTCTGCTCATTTTGGGTCGTTTTCTTCTCATTTTATGCCTAAGTTTCAGTCATTTTGTGGTCAATTTTCATCTTTTTTTTTTTTTTCGTTTTTGCAAATTTCAAGTTAGCTTTCTTGTAATTTGATTCAAATCCTTAAACTTCCTATCTGATTTATTGGGTTAAATCCCTAAATTTTATGTCTGATTTATTGCGTTGCTACTGTCGTTCAAGCTCTATTGGTAAGTTCCATTTCAACATTGACAATTTTTAGTGTTTAGCCATTCTTTTTCTTTTTTTACCAATTTATTTCGTTATTGCAGTTCTAAGTTTGGTTTTGTTTGGTTGGTGAGAAAAATTCAAAATAAAATAAAAAAGTGAAAGAAATAAGATTTTTCTTTGAAAAACTTGAAATTTAATGTTGAATTTAGTTACAAACATGAATGAAATTTTAAGTTTAATTTTTTTTCAACAAAATATTTTTTAAATTATTAAAAAATTGTTACTTGTTAACATGAATTTATTGATTCATTCAAGATATCCTTAGGAAATCATTCTGAAATAGTCTATTATGTTTTTTTTTTCATCTCATCTTGGAATTTGTTTTGTTTATTTTTTCAGATCATGGTGTTTAATGAAACGACTTAATCTTGCTTGAAAGGATTCATTGTGCATGAAAACCATCAACAACAGAAGATGATAGTGACCAAGGTGGGAAAAATTTTTCATCAAATGATAGTATTCCAAATCTATGCAGTCATCAATTCCATACATTTAAAATTTTTTTTAATGTACTAAAATAATTTGAATGTTTTGTATGTATTAAACTTTGTGTTCCATCCATATTAGAACAAATTATGTATTTATAATATTCAGTTTATGAATTTAAGTTCGTTTTTATTTCCTTTAATATTTTTTATTTAATGATAATAATCAATATTAAAAGAAAATTTTAAAAAATAAAATTTTTAATTTAGCGGCGTTTGTACCTAAAAATACATCTAAATGCCAAAATGTAACGATGCTTTCTACTATAAATGTCATTAAATTTAGTGACGTTTTATACTATAAACGCCTCTAATATAAACGTCACTAAATTTAACGGTATTTTATGATAAAAACGCTGTTAAGTTAGTGGTGTTTTTCTAAAAATACCGTTATTTTCTCCGATGCAGGTATATGTGACACTTTTAACGATATTTTTGGCAAACGTT